CGCAACGCAAATTTTGTGACATTAGTACTGCCTAGATATGAATTACCGAGGGAATTATCGTACTAGGGTCTGGTAATTTGCAATTGCCATGTATAAAGGCTCAACAGACCAGTGCAAAACAGCCAAGAAGTGTAAGAAAACTAGCCCAAAAATAAGCACAAAATGACCTTCAAGTCATGTATATTAATTTTATATGTAAAAACAGGACATGGCTAGGAGAACAAATGCCAATAATAAACATTTCATTTACTGTTGCACAAAATTCACATGATTACAATCAAACCCTTTTATTGTGTGATTGGAATAACCGGAAGTTTGTCAGTTTTCACTTAGATGCGATGTAGTTATTGATATTTAACTCAATCTGCATCTGTATAATTGGATAAAAAAAATCTGTCGTATTCAACAGCAGTATAAACAATATATCTAAATCAATTTTAGAATACGTAATAACATGATTTCGAGGGTAATTTTGCTTAAATAAGCACGCGTAAAAAGATTGATCGTGAAGATCAAAGATTGATCGTAAAGATCAAAGACTGAATAAAGTAGACTCCTGTAAATATTTAGGTGTATATGTAAGTAGAAATCTATCTTGGGATTACCACATGAAACACATCTGCCAGAGAGTATATCCAAGGCTAAGAATGCTAAATAGAATTTCTAGCTTTTTACCTCAGGATATTCTATTGTTAATTTGTAAGCAATTATCTTGTCAAAGGTCATATCGATTTTGAGTAAGAAATCTCAGATCGAAACATCGGCACAAAACATGTCATGAGATAATCTCATAAGTCTCTACAACATAAATGATTGTTTTATGCTCTCAGGAATATTAAAGAAAAAAAAACAGGAAAACCTAATTTCAACCCCTTTGCACAAAAACTTGAAGCCTACTTCCTAGAAATTCATTTTCTAAATTTTTTACAATACTTTTGATATCTTGGACTATTTTAATTTTCCATTCCCTTAGTAGTTATAGTTTGAGGGGCTCAGCGATAAATGATCATGAAAGAAAATAACTTGATATGGTGCGCCCTTTCACAATTCCTGGGTACTCAATAGAAGGCAACGCATAAGTCTCAAAATGAACTGGGTAAAATACACCGCACTAACATCGTCTGTATTCTTCTTTCGGGAACATCGTCTGTATTCTTATTTCAGTTTGGCAAATGATATATTTGTCAGTTTTTGGAGGTTTTGTTTTTTAGTCCATAGAGAAAATAACGTCCAGGAATTAATTAGCGCTTCATTATCTAAGTTGTGATAAAATAATGACAGCGCTTCAAATCTAAGTGCTCATAAAATGTTTAGATCGGGCACCACTCAAGATCAATACCAAACACCTTAACATCAAGGCTGTAGAAAGGAAAGGTCATTTGTTTTTCTTCCACATGTTCAGAACGCTTTCTATTTTTGAGGTGTTGTATGAGAGTTGTTCTTCTCCTTCGCCTATTTCTGAAACGATAAAAGCGACAGTCACAAAGATAGTTGCTGTGAGGGCCATCCCTCATAAAAGCAACTATACCAAAAGAGCACGGCAGGCCCAAAAAATCCCAGCGTCAGCACTGCGGACACTCGCAAGTTAACAAATATTTCTTGATTGGTTTGTGTCGCTGGATCTTCAGGAGCACTTAAGACTATGATCATCGCCGTTAGGTTAAAAGGGTAGAAAAACAATATAGAAACGAAGACAACTTTCAAAAATCACATGGCTCTTTGGGTTGAGCAGGGAATCCGTTTCACCAGTACATAGCATCCATGAGAAGAAGTGTAACTTGGCAGGCATATTGACAGATGACCAAGACTCTTCCGTTTTGTAGGAAATTGTACTTTGCTTTGTCTTTAATAGAAATTATGAGTAATCGTGCGTTTACGAAGACTGCAGAAAAATCGAGAAGTGCTGAAATCATCACGAGAAGTAACCAAGTCATAACCAGAAAGTTATGTTTGTTTCCTCCAGCTTGGATGTGGTTTTAAAGATGGAGAGATTCCCCGTGGGTGAGCTTTAGATATTTTCCAGTAGTCACGCGGGCGGCGTTTTATGTAGTGTCGTAACACCAGGCCTAGATTGTTCATATAATCATAATACAACGTCACGCCATGGTGATAGGGCATAGGATAAAATATGGACTGGACCAATGGATTCGTTGAACATTGGACTATTTTTTGGACTATTTTTTGGATCGTTTTTTTCACCTTTTTTTTTTTTTTTGGACCAATTTTTGGACCATTTTATCGGGGGTAGGCAGACCATTAGTTCTTAGGGAGGGGTGGGATGTTGTCTATCAGTACTCAGGAAGGGGTGGGAGGCAGACTGTTGTTATTGAGGAAGGGGTGGAGGACGAACTATCAGAACGCAGGGAGGGATGGGTGGTTGTTGTATTAGCAAATGCTACTGATTATTACTCCACAAGTAAATATTTGATCATTCAGCCACCCAATCAGCTTGATCCTCCCTAACATTTACCTACTTTCAAGGGTTACTCACCTGTATAGTTCAAATTGGTCGGTAACAACTGAGCTGACGGATCAAGTGTTGGAAAATTTATTCTGGTAAGTGTCTGGGTGAAGCGAGCTATTAAGGAGGAGCAATGCATCCTGCATCCAGCACCTTTTATCAAATGTTGAACATAGGCTTAGACTTATTTATGGGAAGGTATTCCTCTTTGTCAGAGCTTTGTTCGTTCACTCGCAGAACCACAGGCGGTAAGCTCACGTCTCGAGAAAAAGCAAACAATTAATTCATGAAAGCTTCACACATTGAGTGACTCGATGTTAAGTTACGAGAGAAACCGTCGAGAATTTGAACACGTTATAAGGAATAGTATGGGGAACGAAATACGGTTGATTTTCAACGATAAATAATTCTAAATATGGACAATCTGCACGTAAAATCGATAGAATTTATACACATCTTGTGTGTCCGTTGTAGTTTCTGGCGATTTCTGCCGTTTTCAGCTTGCTTTGCCATCACTATTATTCCCGTCATAAGACGAAGTCAAGGCTGCACGCTCTGATTTCGACCGTTGATCACGCGGAGGTGGTTTGCACCCTGAAAATCCTCCCGATCGGCATTTTTCTCAGCCATAGTTTAAGATCTAAGTTTAATTTCTAAGAAAAGTTTAAGGGTGTGTTTGATGAAATCGTTGGTTCTCGAAGGAGTTGAAAACTCGAAGAGAAATTCTAAATCTACGTGCGCTCATATATCATTCTGTATTTATCTCCTGAGATACAATGTCAATCGGTCACCGTAAGGAGACTTAAAAGCGGACCGAAACCAAACTACCCTGATAATCACAACTGCCGTCAGTTGCTGGCCTATCCTTTTTCTTTAAAGAGAACGTAACATGGCTACGAAGTTCGTAGCACTTGTTATCGCTCTAACGCTTCTTTTCATCGCCTCCTTAGTAGGCAAACCGCTGGAGAAAAAGTCAGTTGTCTCCTCGGAAAAACCCACGTCAGCAACTGAACGTTCTGATGACTCGAGTAGCGGAGCATGCGCACTTGTTTTGCAGCTGTGTCGGTAATTTTATTTACATCGGGAAAAAAAAACTTACGTGACGAGGCTTAAGGGGTTTTATTAAATTATGGATCAGCAAACCATGGAACCTTAGGGACCAGCGGCAGTTGCGGAACCATTAATTTTTTGTTAAAAAAATAATAGGATCAGAAAAAATTTAAAAACTCTAAACACTTTTCTCTATTACGTCAATAGAGAAATAGTTTTAACCTCCTCAACGTTCAGCTAGAAATAATTTAATTCCTCGGTGGCGCCATTCACCTTTATATAATCCTTTCCAAAATACGTCTTTGAGCAACGCCAACCAAACGAATCCACCACAAGCAAAGCGCTGTAAATTCGCTCCGGACGTTACGTTCACCCCGAAACTCCACATGTATCACTGGCGATCATGTAACTTTACGCTCGTGTCCCTCGTTCCAGGGTCATTTACAATGAAATAGAATAAAAGGCCGCAAATTCCAGCTTAGAGGTTTGCCGAGAGCCTTTGGATGAGGCGTTAATAGGATGTTGCGGTACCCAAACCGTAAGTGCTATCAAATAATGGTTCAAATTATTAGCACTCGGGGTAGGTGACTATTGCTTGCTCCTTATAACATTACATACCCATGAACGGTGATTGTCGTCACACTTTGAGTCAGTTATTTCTAGTTGGATATCAAGAACGTGAAAAACATCTCTGTTAACGTAACCTTTTTTACACCCGAAAACGAAATTTCGAAAAGTTTTGAGGTTTTTTCGATTTCATTCACATAATTATTTTAACTTTTTACAAAAAGTGAATGGTTCCGCTGGTTCCGGAGGTTTCGGATGTTCCGCGGTCTGCTAATCTCCAAGTTAATAACACCCCCTCAGATCTTAGTTGCCTGTCATGCCACAGGAAATGAATTACAAAAGTTCATTTTTGTCGGTAATATTTTTGCGCAGCGTACTGGAAAGAAGACATCTTGCGCGGAATCTTAAAATGTGTTTTATCACATAAACTGCTGTGTTCTACAGGAATTTCCGGCCTAAGAAGAGCCGTAACAACACACGTCAAAAAATATCGTATTTTTTCACGTGTGTTGATATAGCCAATCAGCTGCTGACACGTCACTCGCCTTTGGCGCCACTCGGTCAGGTTAATGAATGAACGGCAAAGCCTTCGCGATTCTAAATACAAATTGTTTGTCGGAGCTTTCTCGAATTATGGCAGCTAAAACACTAAAAAATCCGTATCGCTGACAGACAGTGAGGTTCAAACTTTCCCAGAAGGGGAAGAAAACCAATTTACTAAAAGACAAACCGAAAGTTACGTATTCAGTGGCTTTGATATTGGCACTTCTCTCGGCTTAGGGCGTCTTCATATGAGCCGGTTGACCGGGCTGGCCCGCTTACCGGGACGAATTTCGCCTTAGGTTCAGATGAGAAAATTCAGCCCGGTTTCCGAGACGAGAAAAGGCCAAAGATCCTGGGGACGAGTTTTGGCGCGAAATAAGAAAAACAAAAAAAAGATGGCGAAACGCAACCGAGTTATTACTTTTGCGCCTATCATGGCTTTGGAAACCCTTTTAGCTGTATCACTGCAGTTAAACGGGTTGCTAATGATGTGGAAAATCCATCAGGCAAAGCAAAACGATGCCATTCGGGCCGCCTTGTTGCGGTAGCTTAATTATTCGTTTACCACGTTGTGTGATGAAACTGCGCTGCTACGTCATCGACCATTTAACGTATGCGCTATTGCGAATAATTCATCCCGGTAACCGGGATGAAGTGTTCGTATGGCAAAATTTTCCAGCCCGCTGACCGAGATCCCGGTTGGAAAAACCGAGATCTCGGTAAGCGAGCCAGGCCGCCCTCTCATATGAACACATCGAAAATTTTACAAAGGATTTAGAGGTAGGGCGAGATCTCGGAAAGCGTGCCAGCCCGGTCAACCGGGCTCATATGAAGAGGCCCTTAGAATGAAAATCGATAACTGGAAGATTTGCCACTGGCCGATTTTGGCCGTTTACCTGAAAGACTCTTCTGTCGGTAAGTACAAAGTCAATAAATGAGAATTTTTGTAAATTGAAAATTACGACCATTGCTGTTTTTGTAATCATGATTCAACGCATTTTTCCATCTTAAGAGTTAGCGCCAACGCACTCTGTGATTGTTATTCGGGGATAGTCGATTCATTTATTTTCATTCATTAATGAAGTCGGCTTTTCTTTAAAGTAAAGGGCTATTGGGTTTCTATGACAAACAAAATAATACATGGTTGCTTGTAGATATGGAATTTCTTTACTCGTGTTCAACTCGACGTCTCACTCGTGAGCTATCGAGTTAAACACTCGAAGAGAAATTCCATATCTACGCGCGTCCATGTATTATTCTATATTTATTATATAGATACTGATGAAATACCAGGATTTTTCCTTTTACTAAAAAATCATATCTTCATCGCGCGCAGTGCGCAAGTTTCATGTTCAAAACCAAAACAGAACAAACTGGCATAACTGTTAAAACCACAGGCGGCCCAAGCTGCAGCTGTGAGATGATCATCTTGCGATTGTGTTAAAACTCATACTAATCATGACGGTGTCATGCTGAGGTCCAACGCGGCTAGCTCGCCATCGCAGTCAAGTAAGCCTCAGAAATGACATCGGGCGCCCTTCGAGAGAACAACATCCTTTTCAATGCGTTGAGTGGAAGGCAACATCAGTCACTGCAGCCGAGTTTTTTTTGTTCCGGTAAATTCGGCTGTCGTTCATTCATAAAACATACGCTCGAACAATTTGTTTAAATCGTCATGTGAAAAAAATTGCGTGTTTTTATGAGCCTCAGTTCTGCCGGATGTCACTGAACATTTCGCTTTCAGATTCAGAGACTAAACTATTACAGAATGTGAACTTTAATGGTTTTTGAACTTTGATGGTTTGACATTTTTGATAGCTTTAGTCTTGTACAGCCAATCAGATTATTTGAACAATTCTAACAGGGATTCTGATTGACTCATTGTAGCGTGCTCTATGAGAGTATAGAGCATGCTGACGACATTATTGTTCGGTGTGGAAATAGAGCTTGTTTTGAAAATTGAAAGTAATACGTGGGGAATTTAACGGATTCTTTGTTATGAAACAAATAGAGAAGCCTTGTCTGTGCTCTGTTCTGTTGTAAAGCACGCAAAAACAAACTTGATGTGAACAGCAAACAATAAACAACAGAACTGTGCTCTATTTTGTTGTAAAGCACACAAAAACAAACTTAGCTTGAGAAACACTCGACTACGTCTCGTGTTTCTCCCTACACTTTTTTCGTGCTCTAGCCGCTTCCTGCGTGCTTTACAACAGAACAGAGCAAACAATGGTAAAATTTCCGCACAGCCCCATATTATTGTAAAACAAATCTGTTTTCCCAATGGAAATGTATTGTTTTTGTAATTGTTTACTCTATCCAAGAACTGAATGCATAATATTGTATGGGGTTGTGCAGAAATTTTACAGTAAACAATTACCGTATTGTAAGCGAACAGGCTTACTCCCCTATCTGAGTAAATATAAAAATGCCCTGCCCCGAAGAGAATGTAAACATTGGCAACCATTCCATGCGGAAAAATTTCCGCACAGCCCCATACTACATTATGTATTCAGTTCTTGGATAGAGAAAACAATGACAAAAACAATACATTGCCATTGCACAACAGGTAATTTAGTGTTAACAACTGAGTTGAAAACGTAAATTAGCCACCGTAAAGGGTAAAAAAGCTGACGTTTCGAGCGTTAGCCCTTCGTCAGAGCGATTGACGAAGCTATACTCTCCCACCGACGCAGCACCACAGTTTCTTTAGAAACTTACCCCTTTATTCATTGCACAACAGATTTGTTTAACAATAGTATGGGCTGTGCGGAAATTTTACCTCCCATGCTTCAATGACGTCAAGGTTAATGTGATAAGTATGATTGTTCAAATGTCAGCTGTCACGACAACTTTGAAACGCCGCCTAACCTTGAGTTTCCCAAAGTGCTCCTTGTTATTCACACATATACCGGTAGCTACTCAATGATGACTTGGTTACTTCTCGTGGTGATTTCGGCAATTCTAGAATTGTCTGCAGTCTTCCTCAACGTTCGATTGCTCTTATTTTGCTTCAAAGACGAGGAAAGGTACAAGTTTCTTCAGAAGGGTAGAGTTTTAGTCATTTTACAGTTTGTTTGCCAAGTTGTAATTCTTGTCGTGGACTCTATAGAATGGTGGAATGGATTCAATGTACAACTCAGTGAGTCGTGTGATGTCCCTAGAGTCCTGTTACTTTCTTTGATGTTCTTCCAGCCTTGTAACTTAACAGCAGTCATGACGGTCTGTTGTTCCTGTGAAGATAACGCGACACAGAAAACCCAAGAGTTATCATCTAAACTGCGAATCGGCGCAGCTTTAATGCTAGGATTTATCGGTTCCTGCCTGATCTGGTGGAATGGTTGCGTTAATGACGGATATTCCTCTCGGTTTGCTCTCAAATTCATCTTCGTTGTGACCACCACATATGTCGTTTCACAATTTGGCGTGGCTTTAATCGGAGACAAAGGTCTTCATCAAGAAGAACCCCTTACAGACGCCACATCTGAAGAAAAAGCGAACGCTTTGAGCATGTGGACAAAAGGTAGACGGCCCCTATACATGACAGCCTTGATGTTAATTTGCCTTGTTGTTATCCTGAGCGGAAAACCAAGTGCTGGTTCACTTTTATGCCGCCACGACTCAGGCGAAGAAACGCTTTGCACCGAAGTTGTTTATTCATTCATAACCAAGTTTGCCGTCGGTATCTTTCTACCTACGACCCTGTGCGATTTGATCGATTTTAGCTACGAAGGGAACAAAGTAAAAACTTCAACACTAAATGTTATCTGATAGAAAATCTAGGTGCTTTGAACTAAGAAGTAGCTCACTGTGAGGAGAATAGTATTTCAATTGTAAGTGAATGTTGCGGTTAGAGAATAAGTTCATGATTGTTGAGATGCTTTCAATAGGTTAGCTTCTGCAGAGAACCTGTAAAAAAAAATCCAAAGGATTTTAATGATGTATGTACCGCCGTACATTAAATGGCTCACAATAAATTTTTAAAAAATTGCTCGCGGCCATATTAATTTTGTTTGTACTCGGGTCACTTTGCTTCCAAGACACCTGTTCTCTTTTACTGACCGACACTAATTCGTGCGAAAGTGAGAAGAAAAAAGTTTAAGCGATATTCCAAGCATCTCAAGTTAGAAGAGGTTACTGATCGGAATAGATGTCAAATCAAGAGGACCGGCTTTAAATTCAAAACACAAATTCAAAGCGCGATTTAGAGAGGTTTCAACCCAATTTAAACATCTATGAGAGCAACGAACACCAAAGTTTTCACACGCTTCGAAAATTATCCGTGCATAATTGTGGGAATGTGTGCATAGGACGTGTGCATCAAATTTTTATAAGTTATACCGAAAACCGGTTCATAACGCTACAAGTTGCAATTTCCACGTTGATGTAAATAATTTCCATACGATCAACAACAACACAGCAGGCAGGTGAAAGATTCCAAAACGAAGCTATCCTCGACGTCAAAACTCACTACAAACCGACCGAGACCTTTCAATATACACACTGTTCATCTTGCCACCCGCCAGGTGTTAAGAAAGGCTTTATTAAAGGAGAAGCTATCAGACCTCTAAGAACAAACTTAGAAAGCAAACGAAACAAACGAACAAACGAAAGCTAAGACCTACATTCCTTATCTAGTGTGAAACAATATTTGATTCGTATTTTTACCAACTTTAAAATAACTTTACAAACGATCCCTTTTTGCAATTAATTGCGAATTGATGCGAATCAGGAGACGCAGTAATTGAAGAAAGACAACGACAATGGCACTCAATGGAAAACCTCTTCACATCACAACTGTTTCTTACAATTCAGCGTGCGGGTTTAAAGACCCATTTCCAACCTTGGTGCAACGCGCGCCGCGACCCAATTTCCCTTAACACGAAATTCCCAGATCACTGAAAACCTTCTAAAATCGTCTTTCTCAAGAGCCACCCTGGACATATAGTCAACTGTTTTAGGGTAAATACATTCGCCATTCGTCATTTTACAGTTTCCTTACAGTATTTTGAATTTTGTCCGGAAGAATCTGAAGAAAATTTTTTTAAGTGTCACGCCTGGATCTCTTCGTACGTACTCTGTGAACAGAGTCGGCGGAAAGGACAACGTTCAAATTTTTTCTTTTTCTAGATACGCCTGAGGATTCTAAATGAAGATAAAATATTTCCAATAAAAATTGGTAATTTTCAAAGAGAAATATGGAAAAATATCAGACTGCCGGACGTTTAGTTATTTGAAGACCGTGTCCGGTAGTGTCCGGTGAAAATTTTCCTAGTGTCACGCTTGGATCTCTTCGCACTTTGTGTACAAGTTCAGCGAAACGGACAACGTTAAAATTTTTTCACTTTCTAGAAGCGCTTGAGGATTGTAAATGAAGGTAGAATATTTTCCAACGAAAAATTGGTATATTTCAAAGAGAAATATGGAGTTATTTGGGGACTGTGTCCAGCCGTGTCATTGAAAAGTTGCTAAGTGTCGAGCTTTTGGACGGCTTCGTCCTCTGTATATAGGGTTAGCGAAAAACATCAAATTCGAAATTTTAGGCTGCCTGGAAGCGCTTGAGGATTGTAAATAAAGGTAGAACATTTTCGTTTTTTTTTTTGGATTTCGAAGAGAAATATGGAAAAATATCGGATTGCCGGACGTTCAATTATTTTAAGTTTAGTCACTTAATTCATTGCAGGAACGTCAGCGACACTGACAGTTTGCGTTACAATTCTTATTTGCTGCTTTGCAGGACAACAACCTCGACCACTTTTTCGAGCGCAAGCTCCTCTCAAAAGGCAGGAAACTTCAACTGACCCTTAATCCTATTTAACAAGGGTGGCAAACTTCAATTTAAAAAAATTGATGAATGGATGAAAATGGATGGATGACTATATGTCCAGGATGGCTCTTGAGAAAGACGATTTTAGAAGGTTTTCAGGTCGAGGCGCGCGTTGCATCAAGGTTGGAAATGGGACTTTAAACTCGGACGCCGAATTTCAAATTTACCCGAAAAATGGAAAATTGACTCACTTCTATGTTTTTGTTTATCTCGATAACCTTCACGCTAAATTAGAGTGACGTCACGGAACGCGATTAGTTTCAGGTTTGCGCAGACGTTCCCTCGCCTCCGTTTCACTTTGGGGTACGGTTGCTCGTAGGCCAAAAAAAGGGCTAAATGTAAGGATACTGTTAAGTCTGAAGGAACAAAACACCTGTTTCATTTGACGCCTTGCTGAACCACACGAGAGAACTTGAACGAAATTAGCTCTACTGATTGCATTCTCAGGGTCCAAACCATACATCTCTTGAAGTTTTCTGCGAAATCATTGACTTTTTCGCGCTTGATATGTGTTCTAAACCTATTTTTTGCTTAAAAACTGCTCAGAGACGCAAACATTCGCTCAAGGTTGCTAGAACCGCAAGAAGGTGCTCAAAAGTTTCCGGGCACCGTAATCGGGACAGGTCTATCGGCAGTTATCGAAATTGGAATAAGGTCCGCAGCCCCAGCTAAACGATCAAATATCATGCTGGACAAGTATGTGTAAATGTTTAACCGCCTCTCTCAAACTTATGAATAATGAATCAAATAATGAATTAATAATTTAACCGCCTCTCTCAAACACATGAAAAATGAATTCCAATGTATGATCAAGATCAAACATTTTTATCCAACATTTTTCCCACAAGCAAATATTTGATAATTTAGCCACCCAATCAGCTTGATCCTCCCCACCATTTATCTACTTTCAAGTTTTACTCACCCGTATGGTTCAAATTGGTCGATAACTTTTGAGCTGACGAATCCAAGATTGCCAAATTTATTCTAGTAGTTGTTTGGCCATTGGTTGTTTATCGCCATCGTGATAAATCAAGCGTCTGACTTGAAAGCACGGTGACCCTAGGTAGTGCTCCAGACTGAACAATTGGTTATCTTTACAAAGATGATATGATATATCAGTGATACCAGTAAACTTGAGGCTGTGTAGCAAACGCTGATTTTTTAATTCATCTTTTCAGTTTCGATGGAAAACAATCTATGCAGGAAAAAAATCAATTTGGTTTTCTGAGAAATGATGTTTACGAAATTAATTTTGTGATAGGAAATATGTTATAAAATTTCTACCGTAAATTGCACATCAGAATCCTAAGAAATATTAATGAGTAAATGCTACATTAAATCTCCCGTGTCTAGAGAAGGTGTTTTATTTGACTTCAGTTTTTCGATGATAAAGCGACAAGATTTACACACACCATTGCAGCAACTGACAAACGTGCACACTCTGACATCTTCATAACAAAGATTTTGAATTTATTTGCAATGACTTTTCCCGCCCATAAACTGGACCAAAATAAATTTTCGTAGAATAATCCTTGATTGAGATGAATAAAACTTTCTCTACGATAACTGATTTTTTTTTAGGAATAATTCGTCCAGATAGTCATTCAACTCGATTCTGTTTGCCAAACCAATGCTGTTGTTTGCAGAAATGTTGAATTTCAACCAACTCGACTTCTCAAAGAGTGGCCAGATTGGAAACAGCGTTTCGAGCAGTTCAGATGCGCTATTATTAAACGATGACATTAATACATATTTTATTTAGAAGCATTTAAAGAGCTTTCTTGTGTTGGACAAGCCATTCAGGAAAAAAAAATGTAATATGCTAGAGGATCGTTTCCTATTTCTTGGGCAGTCTTACTCAGTAAGTAAAGTAATTGATATCTTTCTAACTGTGAGAAAAAAGTCTATTTAACTCTACAAAATATTAGTGTCAGGCTGTTACTGATTTCAACTAAGTTCCATACTCTCCTATTGCGAATTGACACGAAAACAGATGACCAGTTTCAACGGTATTTGGAACTTGTACTAGGATATTTCAATTATCTTGTGGAAAGCTATGTTTCAATTTTTTTAATCCCGTTTGATAAATGAGAAAGTAATTCAAACTGGTAGAAATTTATCCCTTGCAGGGATTTTCTGGGAATTCCTTTTTTTATATTTCAATTCCCTTCAGGCTCGTCTTTTGGTTGATTCCATGTGGAATTCCGATCAGGAAAATAATTCTTAATTTTTAATTGAGCACGTTCAACTCCTCTTTCTTTAAGGTGATTAAAGGTGTAAACAACTTGTACTTTTCATCCTCCCACTGAATTTATAATCAGGTAACTTATAGGAACAGCACGTAGCCCTTTCGGGGGCGGTACCTGGGGTACGCCCTTTCTTCACAAATTCTGCATTTATTCTGTTCTTATGTTGCAGTCATCAAAGGCTTTTTCCGCTTTAGATATCTTTTTAAGTCTAATTCTATATCTGTTCATAAGTTCACTATAAATTTTATATTTTCAATCTTGTTTTTGTTTTAAGACTATTATTCAAGATTTATTCAAGATTTCCGGAAATAGCTTTCAATTCCAGTACCACCAGTAGTGCTGCGATCAACATAGTCAAGGACATATTTGCCCGATGGGGAATACCAGACGAAATTGTGAACCACAATGGTCCTTAATTTGCCTCTGACCAAGTTTAGCCACGAGTATGAATTTCAACATATCACCACATTACCCACAAGCAAATGGAAAAGCAGAAAGGGGTCCGCGTCGCCAAGAGGATATTGAAGCAGTGACATCCCTTTCTTGCACCTTTGTTGTACCGAGTAAAACCTCAAACATTCACAGGCATGAGCCCTTGCCATTTGATAGTGGGAAGATAAATCCGCACCCTCCAACCTACATTGGAATCCAACTTGAAGCCGGTTCTACTGAGCCACGAAGCTGTTACCAGAAAGGACGAGCAATCCAAAACTGCATACCATCAGCACTTTGACAAGAGACTTGGACTGCTACCCCTTCGCGACCTAAAGCCAGGTGACTCAGTTCGTGTAAAGTTAGATCAGCAGAAAGGGTGCCTGGGAAAGTCATTGCAAGAAGCCCTACTCCCCCGTCATATGTCATCCAAAAACCTTTGTGTGGTGTCGTTACGACAGGTGTTCAATCGTGCAAAATACTCATCACAAAAAATCTTTCGAAGTTTGCTTGAAAGCCACTTGAAGACACCTTTCATGATCAGTATCATCATGCAAACAAATTTTTCGGTGAATCCTTTCTCTTTAATTTGCATTACCTCTGTTATCTTTACATCTACTCGCTAAAATGTGTTTAGTTTATGGAGGATCTTGCCGTAATTACCGCCCTAAATTGTTCGTGGTCTTTTGGCATGCGTTTCGTTAGTTTCTAGAAAAGAATAAAATGTTTTACACCTGCCTAGGTTGGTCAATATAGCGAAATAGCGAAAGTTGAATACCGCCCTCTATCTACAGCCTTGGGTGACTCGGGCGATATTCAAGACTTCGGGCACAGTTTCAAAATACGGACTGACTTTGGCTGGTAAATAACCTATATATATGCATTTGCAGTCGTGAGCTCACTATCTTTTTCCGCAAGTCATTTCGAGGAAGTGTCCTTGACCTGACTCATGGCAACAGATTAATTCAGAATTAATAACAGAATTTTCTAATTTTAGGAATCGAGAGACATTATGTAGGAAAATAATTCGATAATCGCGTAAGACTGAACTCCGCTTCGTGTTGACACATTATTAAATAAACGTATTTTCCATCTGTTCCCATATGCTCGACCTGTCCTGTCTGTGTCAGATTAACAGTTAGAGATTCACTATAAATGCGCAGCCTTGATACTGTAAATGTATGATTATCGCAGGCTTAATTATTTTCCCCATGTCATTTCCAGAAGGTGAATGCCTTTATGGATTGACTTGAGAGCGTTTTGGGGGGTGGGATTCTCAGATTAATTTCAGATTTCAGCATTTGTGGCAGTTATCTGGCATACATTTTCCTTAGCACATTAACTTTTAAAAATATTTAATATTTGTTTAATAATAGCAAAAATGCTACACTACCAAGAAAGGAGGAATTGTCTCAGATCGAACACGCGTGCTAAAATTTCCACCTTGGCTTCGCTCCTTTCTTTGCTCGTCAGAGAAGGAAAGAATTATTGAGGACTTGTTACTCTGTCCGATTCCTTTAGGGGTAAATCTCCCTTCCTTTCGTTCATGGCGCGACCACAGGCACTCTCCAAGTAAAATAAGAAAACACACAACTATTGCTCCACCTAATATAAAGAAAAGGCCACCAAAATTAACAGGCTTCATCTCTTCAGCGCTTTGAGATGATCGACCGGTATAAAAACAGCCTCCTCTAAACCATTTTTCCTTCAGTTTCCTAAAGTAATCTATTTTTTGGTATTTAAGCAACAGATTTGAAACCGGATCTCTCCACTTCGAGTTTTTGGGAAATCCTATGGCGTATGCTACAGTAATTATTGGGTTCCCTACTACTTTAAACGAACATCCGGGCATCTTGGAAGCTCCAAGGTCAATGAATGGTGAGTCGTAGATGAAGGCTTTAATTTCCCTGAAAAGAAAGTGAAAATCAAAGTAAGGAATGTGTACAAACTGGAAGATAAGACCATGTGGCGTTTCATTTGTTGACTCAGAAAAAAAAAAACCGAAAATAAATAGGCGTAGCAAAATCAAGTGATCGTGTAGTCTAATCGTATGGGAGGAAGAAAGTCCTGTGAAGGACTGTTGTTGGTGGTGGTGGCGGACGTTTCGACAAACTTAGCAGAAGTGACAAACAAAAGTAATAATAATAATTATTATAATAATCATGATATTTAATGAGGGAACCCAACTCTTCAAGGTTTTTTCAGTAGAGCCCTAAAGTCATCATGATAGATATGATAGATTTATTAAGCAAACAATGTCACATCGCAACTAGTAAGGCAAATTGCGTGGTATTTACCGTCAATAAGGTCTAGAAAAATTAAACGATATGCATGATCCTTAAAAAGTACTATACACGATAAAAGTTGAATTATAAGATATATGTTAATTAGTATCTAATTTACCCTTAAGACCTTTGTGCAAAAGTGATATTTACTCACTAAAAACATAAAAACAGTTTCCTCGTTTATTATTGGGTAAGATTGAGAATTTACTACAAATAGATGGCATGAAGGAACGTCGATATCTTTCAGTTTTTTTCATAAGAATCGAGACATTCACTCAGGTTGTCCAAACGTTAGTCATCACAACTGACAAATGTCCTTCTCAGGACTACGCGTAACTGGGAAAAGGAGAGTAGATTGTGAACTTGTGGAAAAAAAAATGCCTGCCTAAATTAATTATAACCGCAGTTTACTAATTGGGTTGGCTTAGAGAGATCGACATGAGTTATTCTGAGGGTTTACAGTCAATTCTCAATTATGGCACGTTATCCGTTAAATGCCACATGTAACATCCATCACATTGTAAATGGCTCCTGACGCGGAGGCACCTCAAAGCCGTATGTCAGCGAAACATCGCTGACATGCTATTTATTATTGTAATACACTGGGTTTGTGTGCACTTTTATGATATAGATTTGATTTGATTACGAAATGCGTCCATGAGAAAGAAACTCGTGTTACAGGTCAAGACGGCATCCTTTGTGATTAACACAAAGAAAGGAAGCCAAGTCCGTTTCTACAAATTTCGCTCTACTTGTACGAGCATTTCGTGTCGCAATATACTACTATATCTTAGCTTTCATTTGATGTAAATTTCATGCGGTTTAATCAACATCGGCGAAAATCACTACTATGAACAGCATTTGGCGAAAATTACTCTGGTTTCGCTTTCCGCAAACTGAAGTTTGGGATATCAACATGTTTAACTTCATTTACCGGTTCACGTTCCATAATTGAGACGCTACGCATAACTTCTGAGTCCTTTTCCCTTTTCGCAATATACTTCTAAAAAGTCTTAGTTTTGATGTAAGGTTCATACGACAGGCTACTCATGATGTTGAAGTCAAATCGCCACTGGTAGCAACTTGACTCTTCGCGGTGGCGAGTTTGTTGTGGTGGCGAATTGACCGGACACCATCCTGGGGTAACAGTCTCATATAGAATTTTGGTAGATAAGAAACTATGCATTACAGAGTTATTTTCAACGCGGGAGAGGGGGACTTACTTAGTTTTAATCAGTTTTTGAGTAGCAACGATGAATTGCTTGAAGTGGGGGAATCCACATAGTTGCCGCTAAACCGCCTTTGTGGAGTCCTCCATTCAGATCCCTAAGAATGCACTACAACCCATTATAACCCAGGTGTCATGGCCGTTACCACTCAGTTACAAGGCAGTAGGGAATATATAGGGGTTGATTGTTTATTATAACTCTGCCCAAAGGTTTTTACTTGGAATTTTAGCAGGTCATAACATTTATTCTTACATGGAGAACATTCAAAATAAGTAACCCCTTTCTTAGGAAGGCATGACTAAGGCTGTATATTCACTACCGTGTGCAAGACATGTTTCCATCATAAATCCAAGTTTGAAAAGAGGATTAATACCGACCCTTTCTTTAGTTTTTCGAGGCCCTCGTTGTAGCTCCTCACAGTATAGGGCATCATGTTTCTTCCTATTTTTCTGTATGCAGGATCATCACTGTTTGTAAAGAAGGACAGTATACTACTACTATGAAGAGTGGTAAATGTGAAGCCTGGCGGAGGATCTTGAAACTGCAAAACAAGTAAGAAACAGTGTCAGCTCTTTTCTAAAAATATTCCAATATGAATACCTGAAACCTTATCTAACTTGTCTCATACGTGAGCTACCCAAAATGATTTTTCTTTGTGTTGAACTCACTATATTTATGGTGGTTTTTATGGGTCTTAATGGTCTTTATGGGAGCTGGAGGAAACACCAATTTACACAGGCTTACCAAGTTATGTTCACAGATATCATTGGCCCGAAATCATATCTTCAACCTGTCCTGAAATGGCTTGAAGCCATTTCAGAACAGGACAGAAAGAAAATAACCAACATTCAGAGCTTTAGTTTTAGTTACCTTAGGATCATTAATCCCTGTGACAGGGGATTCTCCATCCAGTTGAACAAGAGAAGCTGCCAATTTAGCCGTGTATGTTGTAATTATTATCAGTGTTGAGAAGGAAAACACAGCAGTTGTAAGTCTCGCACTAATGCTCTGTGGCTTCTTGCCTTCCAACTCAAGTTTCACTACATTACTCCAAATGTAAGACATACATGTCGACAAACTGAATTTGGTGTCCTTTTCTGCAAAGATTATCCGTTGGCGATTCGGACTTATTCTTTCCATGAGCCATACTGTTGCAAGAACACCACTGACAGTAGCCAAAAAGACAATCCACAAGGCTTTGTCAAACGGTGCCAGGAACCCAATTTCCACATTAACTCTTACTGGAGTGACAGAGATGAGCAGCTTCATTTCTCCATGAAAAAATGGATAAGAAAAGTCAATGTATTTTTCCCTCATTCTCGTTGTAGTCAACGCTGAAAGAGCCATGTCAGTTCTGTTAGAAAGCAAATCGCCAATCATTCCATCCCATTCTTTAGAGTCCGCATTGTAAGCCCCATACTTGCCATCCCTACACAAATACAACTCCACCGAAAGAGATAAGTCTTTTTCAAGCCACTGCAAGAGATCTATTAGAAAGCCAATACAACAGCACTTTATCGGTGTATTTTGCACGGAGTTGTTATCATAGTGCTTGTATTTTGTGCAAGGGTAACTCAAAACGCACTCACTGAATGTAGCCACATCTTCCTTACTTACTATCAACATTGGTTCTTCTTCAATAACCACCACTCGAAGTATTTCTTTGGGATCACAAACATTGGTCGCCCATAACGACCTTTGAAAGCTGACTCGATGGCCTGTTGCAGATCCCATGGTAACCCATGCCACTTCCCCTGAACTTGATGAGTTCTCTCGGAATGTGATGATGATATCATAACTAGTCGCCACTCGGTTTCCTTTCTCGTCGAACTGAACCCATCCTGTTTTTCCCAAGAACGCCTGATCTAGCATTTTTCTGGAGATTTAAAGAGTAACATTTTTTAGACAGACAAGGTATAAATATGTAAAAGGAGTTAGTCTCTGATGAAATTGTGGTGCTGCGTCGGTGGGAGAGTATAACGAGGTAATTTAGTATTATCAACCGCGTTGACAACGTAAATTGGCCACCGTAAAGAGTTTAAAAGCTGAAGTTTCGAGCGTTAGCGCTTCGCCTCTTTGCTCTTCGTATAAACGAAGGGCTAACGCTCAAAACGTCAGATTTTGAATTGTTTACGGTCGCCAATTTACGTTATCAACTCAGCTGATAATACAAAATTACCAACGTATAAAAATGCCCATTAAGTGGCTCTAAGTCATAGCATCATAACAGAGTCTCTCCTAAAGAACGTTTTGTAAGGAACATTTTCTTTTATAGAGCACAAACTATACTATTTTCTCTTTCATTTCTTTTTTTTTCGATTAGGCTGTTTTAAAATCACGTTTCATGTTCCACTTTTCTTCTTGGATTGAGCCAAAGCAGCAAAGAAATTATTTCTTAAGTTTATCCTTTATCATTAATCTGGTGACTCATACTCCCACCACACAACGAGATTTGGTGCACTCGTTACCTATACCAAGACAGTATCCTGCTAACTAACTGAATCCTCCCCTGGAAACTTATTCCCATTACCCCCATCTTTCTGATAACTCTTGTCGTCGAGGAGAATCTCTAAATAACTAAGCTTGTGTCATTTCAACCCCTGTTTGTCCCCAGCCAAATCTCTTGAGTAACGGGCGAGGTAATTGCAAGATGGTTACTTAGGGCACCGATACTTTGTGCCTAATAATAGCCCAACTAAGGCCGGTATGGATGATACATTTTTTAAAACCCGGCTGGCTAAAAGATTTTTGAAACTGGTAAATTTTTAGTTGCCTCTCTCAAACTGACATAGATAATGAATTCTCAAGATCATACATTTCATTCAACTAACGTTTTTCTTCTCAAGCAAATGTTTGATCGTTCACCACTCGTTTACCTCCCCTCCGTATGGCTTTCATGTTTTACTCACCTGTATAGTTCAAATTGGTCGGTAACTTTTGAGCTGACGGATCCCATGTTGATAAATTTATTCTGGTCGTTACTTGAATAAAGCGAGCCATTAAGGAGGAGCAATGCATCCTGCACCCATTGCTTTTTATCAAATTTTGAACGTAGGCCAAACACATTTATAGGAAGGGATATCACTTCATCAGTGCTATTTTCCTCCTCTCTAAGAAACAACCACTGAAATTGCACAGGGTTTATATTGACGGTGTAAGTAGCTTCTATGAGGAACGAAGCGTCCTGTTCACTGCAGTCCATTACAACCAAAACTGAGTTGTAGTTTACAGTGATCTTAAAAATTTCTGTCATCATTCTCGCAATGCCAATAGGCGTGTCATTAAGATGCAATTCTGTAATGCTTGAGGAGATATAAGATTTCCTTGTCTGATTTTGAATCTGTTGCAGAATTTCTGACCTGTGAAAGCTGGAGGTGAACACTGCGACATGTTGACAACCAAGTTGATCGGCAATTTTAAAAGCAATGCTAATGTGCTCCGTAAGTGTTGATGGGCTGAGGTTAATGTAGAGCTGATCCTATTGAGTAAAGTGTTGCAAAAACCCATCATTCAAAATTTATGTTGTAAATATGCCAAGTATTATCAGTAAACAAGAGATTTCAACTAAGAGAATTTATTCCCGTGATGATTTTGTTTAAGTCAATTTTAAATTTCCCGCTCGGCAGTAACATAAAATGCCACTCAGTGTGCCCTACCAGTTGTGGTGAATTCATCTGATTGACTGAGCTTCTGAACAATTTGCTGTTGTGAACGAAATAAAATGTCGACATGAGCCTGTCAGGTTGTTAAGTTTTGAGTAGTAGATTTATACTAAAACATTTATATCACTGTTGCTTTCTATTTCTATGTTTCACCCTCATCAACTATCACGCGATTGAAATTTCGATCTCGTAACCTGATTTTTTTAATAGAGCGCGACTCTAAACTAGCAACAAAACATCTGGGAGTGAGGTACTAGTCATCCAAAAATGATAAAATAAATGGAAATGAGGGAATGGTCTAACAGGGGGACTGGATGGCATACAAAAATCCAGGATTACTATTTCCCGATGCGTCAACTAGAAAGGAAATGTTAAAAAATGACGAGAGAGAGAAAGAAACCGATGGATAAAGAAATTTCGGTAAATTATCTAAAACTGAAAATTAATCGATGATTTGACCCATTTAGTTTTGTCATGAAATTTCCATGCACATTGATTTCAGGACATGTTACGTTCAAACCTCTATTTCCTTCTTTTAAGCGTATAATTTTATATTACATTCCTTTTTTTATCGGTGCGTTGTCTTTACCTTACCGCTGCCTTGATCATTCAAAAAACTGACTAAGGCCAAGAGATGAAAATCTCTTGCTGCGGCTTAGTGAAGCAACCAAAACCTCATGAAAAGTATACCTTTTTTAATTAGTTTAAACCAAAAAGACTGTCTATTCTTTCTCGCCATAGCTATTTTTAATTGGTATTTCTCAAAACAGTCACCCACAGTCGCCATTGCAATGGAAAGTTTCCAATATTCATATTCGTGAGAAAACGCGAGAAGACCCTCACGAAGGTCATTGAACCAGGCTATTAAATATCTGCCTACTGTTGACCACTTTGCAAAATGGATGTATTTAGCAGTAAATTCCTCTGTTGTAATAGTCACAAGCCTGCGAACCCCCTTCATTTAACAGTGATGAAATTATATGACTGTTCGACTAAATGCGACTAAAACTGCGAAAACACACGCGCGAGAAATCGTACGCATAACTTGCTTACGAACTGAGCAACGTTAAATGTCTCAGCGCGCGCGCTACTTGCATGACACGTCAGTCCGGTACTTTCTTCTTTACAATGATATTCTCAATATATAATAAAAGGATTTTCTTTAAATACCTGATACTCATCCTGCCTCAAGATACTTATGAATGGGACCACCAACAATCCAAGCGTGCCTGCGATTAACCTGTCAATGAATTTGTTACCAGACCCTATGATAGCCTTGGTTCCATTTCCTTCTTGCACCGTTCTAGAAATCGTTTCTGCGACTTTCAGAGCATCATAGAAACTAAGGTTTCCCGCAGGAAATTTTACAACATCTATGTCCAGGTTAGCACGCCATTGTGATAAATCAAGCGTCTGGCTTGAAAGCACAGTGACTCTAGGTAGCACTCCAGACTCATAACAATTGGTTATCTTTACAAAGATGATATGATATATCAGTGATATCAATAAACTTGAGACTGTGTAACAAACGCTGGATTTTGAATTCATCTTTTCAGTTTCGATGGAAAACGATCTCTCCAGGAAGCTCAGGTTCAAAGATAGAAGTTCTGAGAAAGCACGAGAAAAAAAACAATCACTGCAATTGCTGAAATTCATCTAGAAAACGTCTTAATGAGACGATTGTAGGCGCCAATGCAGTTTTCTTTTTAATAAGATCTCGCAATTTTGTGGGAAACCTGTAAAATTACTCCTACAGGCTACTTACGTCATCTATGGTATAAGCTTGATTTTGAAGAACTTTACCATCTCCTGACCCTAACCTTAACATGAATTAAATGCATCCTAGATTCTCTCTTTTCAGAAAGTGTGACATTATATTGTAAAAAATTTCGAAAAAAGGTTTCTACGCTCAGTTGATAAGTTGTTGGCAACATCAAAACTTAACTGTCCTTCGTGCTGAGACAATATTTAATTGAATAAACGTGCTCTTCACTTGTTCGATCTTATGTGTTAGGTAAACAACTCAGATTTCAGATTTTTTTTCCTCGGTGCGTAAGCGTGCGGTATTCTACAAATCCGGCAGTCTGATTAGCTCCAAGAGCGGGCAGTATGCTCCCTTCCTGCCCGCTCACTGCGGGCGGCAAACGTTGCAGGTTGAGTCGCCTTGAGAATTCCTCGCTTCTTTGCAACTTTTGAAAGAATGTGTTGTTTTGCCGGCCTAAAAAACGGTTTTTATGTAATAATCCTTCATAAAAAGTAACGCAGAAAGTTAAAATGTGAAGTAATTGTTTACGATGAAATGTATTAATGTTGGACCCTGTCCAAACTTCGTCGTGCCCCTATCGCTTCAAAGTTAATTAAGTTCAACAAACGCACGGCAGATGCACCGCGTCGGATATAACGTTTTTAATTAAGTACCGTGCCACAAGAATCTGCGGGATAACGATTTAAATGCCGTGCCTCTGCCAAGTCAAATTAAAAATGTTGAATATATTAAATTTTGGCAGAATTGCGCTCCCGTTTGCGCACTCATTTTCTTTTTTTTCTTTCTTTTCTTGTGTATCTTTTTGTCTCTTTATGTTTTATTTCTTCATCTCCGTCTTATTTCCAGTGTGATTAAATTAAGCTAGTTAAGAAAAAAAAAATTAACCCACCTCGATTAGCATCTGCTATCTGCGGGTCAAAGAAATATCTTGTAAATATGTATGAATATCAAAATTAAAGTGTGTCAAGAGTGTATGTGTGTGTTTTTTTCAATAAATCCTCCAGCCCGACTGCTGAATCAGAGTTGTACTTCTGCCGTGCTAAAAAAAAAAAGTTGAACCTACTTTTAATTAAGTTCCGGCACAGAAGAAGCACGACGTCTGAACTGGGCCTAACATTCATTCATTCGATATCTGAATTCTCCAAAACAGTTAACTCCATGTAAAACGTTGAGTAAAGTTTTAGTTCTACCACAAATACACTTTCGGTAAGGCTTCGCTATTCCGTTAAATTTGGACATTTCTACAGCAAAATGCACATCAGTAACCGAAGCAATATTAATATCAGTTAGTGAATGCTGAATTAAAACCCGTTGTGCCTTGATGACGTGTATCATTCAACTTAAGTTTTTAGTAGGAAGAAAGGCAAGATTTACGCACACCATTGCAGCAACTGACAAACGTGCACATTCTCACATCTACAAAACAAAAATTTGAATTCACTTACAATAACTTTTCCTTACTAATTAAACTAGACCGTGGTAAATCTTCCTAGAATAATCTTTGCTTGAGGCGAATAAAACTTTCCGTGAGATAACTTACTGTTTTTGAAGAATGATTCGTCCAAATAGTCATTCAACTCAAGTTTGATTGCCAAACCAGTGCTGTCGATCATTCAAGAGTGTGCATGCGCTTGTTTTTTTTTATGTACTCTTAAACTGAAGGGTGTCAAATCGTGACAAGTATTTATCAAAAGAATATTTCAAAGTTTGCTTGTAAACCTTTTCAACTCACCTTTCTTGATCAGTATGAAAACGTTTCGGCGAAGCCTCCCTTTTAAATTTGCATCGGTCCACAGCCTCTGGCGACTCGGGCGGTATCTAAGAATTCGGGCAAAGTTTTTCGCTTATAAATAACCTCCAAAAGACATTTGCAGTAGTGATAATTACCATCTTCATTAGTTTCCTCCAGTCAATTCAATAAAGCGCCGTTGGCCTGACTCATGACGCCAGAATAGATGTTCCCAGAATTTTCTCTTTTAAGGAATAGAGAAAGATTGTGTCGTAAAATAATTCGAATAACGTTTTCACGCTTAGTTGATAGGTTGTTGACAACAACCGAATGAACTTTACTTCGTGCTGAGACATTATTGAATAAACATATTCTTCACCTGTTTCAAGTGCTCGCCCTTTCTTGTCTGTCAGATTGACAGTTGTAGATTCATTTTGTATTCGCAGTCTTGATATAGTAAATTATGTTAATTGTCTTCCTAAAGGCATTTCCAGAAAGGAAATGTGTCCGCTCTATGCCCTTTATGCATTGATTTTAAAAGCTTCTTCTTTGTCGAATGGGGAAGTTTGTCCACTAAAACAGGTACTCTAGTTCTCATTAATTATTAACCGCGTCAGTAATTGCTCTTGCAGAAGTTATCATTTGCCTAAATGGAATAAATTATATTTGGTTTCGAACATCAATCTTTATTTTTTTGTAATAACAAGACGAACGGTAGGTTTGTCATCTATTAAAGTTTCCCATTCCTCAAAAAAATGTGGAAATAGAACTGAAGTATGAAGAATGATGTGTGAAGAAATACTGATTTCAAGAGCACGCAGTTTGGACACCACTCTCTTCTGCACATTGCCTCTTAAGCATGAATGAAATTTTTTCAATTCAAGTCAGAGCGCTACAATACCACGAAGGCAGGAATTGTCTCAGATCGAACACGCCTGCCACAATTTCCACTTCGGCTCCGCTCCTTTCTATGGTCAGCTAAGGATTTTGGGAGTTTCAGATCGTATCAAGTATTAACTGCATTAGTAATTGCTTTTTTAGATCCTATCGTTTACCTGAATGGAATAAATTTAATTTCCGTTTAAGTATTGAGCATATTTTTTGGTAACGAAGGAAAAGAATGAAGTTTTTATCAATAATAGTGTTCCATTCTTAATTCATGATAATATTAAAAAGGAGCTAATGTATTAAAAATTCAAATACGTACACCGCAAAACAGCCAAAAAAATTAAACTGTTTGGCGTATAAATTGACAACTTTTAACCGTTAGTCGTAAAAAAAGGGACTCGTAAAAATTTTTTCTTTCCCGAAAGTGTCGTTTTTCGTCAACCGTTAGCCGTAAATGGCCCAAATTTTTATTGTTGCCGTAAAAGCCATCACCCCATTTAAACCCTCTGTCAAAAGGTAAAGCACAAATACCCTATGAAAATTCCTTAGCTACTTTTGACCAGAACTTGTACTGGGATTTTTTCTCTCTCCTCATACATCCAAACAATATTTGTGTTCTTGGTTGAATGAACATGCAAATGAGCAAAAATTTATCAGTCTCAAATAATATCGAAATACTGGGCTATGTTTAAAGAAGCTTTCTTTGCAGGCAGTTTTCTTGACATTAGGTGAAAAGAAAGGTGATGCACTCGCGAAAACTGGAGAGATTCAGGTGGTCTTATCGCAATTTTTTTTTTGTTCCAAACCTAACACGGCTCTTCCGTTTTCCCTGTGAGTAAATACCCAACGTTTAAGATGTCATTTCGGTGAATGTCACGTTTTGCCTATTTAAACGGTTGTTATGTAATCGTGTACCTACAGATGTCAGGTTTCGCTTTCCGTTACTCACATTGACTTTCACTTACAAAAAAGGGGAAAACTTCCCACTTCTTAAAATAAGACTGCGACTTTATTTTTTCTTTTTGGATTAAAATGACTTCGGAAAAGATGGGGAACTTCTTTAAGTGAGAAAGAATCACCAATACTGATGTCCGGGGAAGGAGACTTCCGTTTTCACTTAGAGCTTAGAATTAACTTTCGCGAAATCGGACAAATCTCGGCCAACGCCCTTGTTGTCGCTCTCTCCCGGTTATTTCCTCTTGAGCCCATCGAATACCTAGTCTACGGTTACGTCATGGTCAATCTGTCTGCCCCAAGATACCACTGATGTATTATTATATTTACTATATCACAAAAAGGCTAGTAATTGAAGTTGCAATTATGAAAATTTTTATTAGACCTAGTCAGTCAAGTGAGAGGGGGATGACCTTTTTTTGAAGCTCTTTCCTTCGTTCAAAATGCGATTTAAATTTCAACTAAGTCTTTTCTTTTCATCAGAAAAACACCTGTTCCTTTCTTCAGCTTAGGCAATGGCCTGGCGGGTTTGTCCACTGCATCTTTTACTTGCTTCTGTAGCTCTCGTTTTCCATTTGGACATGGCACGCCCCCATTACGACCACAGATTATTAATGAATTTGCCACACACAGAGACAGGAGAAGTGTAACTACAACTGGTTTAATCATGTTACCTCTGAAAGGAAATGAAATCAAACATAAGTATTCTTGTACCTAATGAGGAGATGGGTTGAATACCTCTTGGCTGCAATACCCCTGACTGACCAAGACCAAGGCATTAATGTTCCTTGTGGATGCGATATCAGTCCCGTGCAGATTGTCCTTCAGCACGTTTCGCAGTGTTTCACTAATACTTTATCTGAGCCTTTTTTTTTTAATCGGAAATGGTTGTAAGCCATTTCTTAGTTTTTGTTCTGACCCAAAATTCACTTCTTCGTTCCATCGTTCTGATCTTCCGTAGGTGTGCAATTCTTTTACTGTGTCAGGAATCTTGATGTAGCTCAGCCGATAGCTTAGAACTGGTCAAAATGTTAACAGTCTGCTAAGAAATAACGCGTTTTTAACTGATAGCTGAGATCCGAGAAAAGCAAAATTTTCTGATGGATGAAAAGCGAGCTGAAATCAGAACTGTGTGCAGACGTTTGCGCATTTGAGACACTCCAACTCAACATCTGACTCAAGGGCGAGAAGCCATCTTATATTTTAGTATTTATATGCCTCGCACACACACCCTGACTCCGAAATAGAACCCTCAAATGCTAAGAAATACAGAGACAGTGAACTGTATCTTTGAATTATCGCGACGTTATCATCATTTCTTTTTATGGCAGTAAAGGGAAAGACAAACGCAGCTCTTCAGTAATAATTGGCTTTTAAACCCTACCGTACAACAAACGGTTACGTTCAGAGCAAAATACAATCAAAAATATCCTTTTGAAGAATGAGGTAAAATAGAATTAGTTAATGGAAAACTTCATGGATCGAATCGAAGACCTATCGTTTAAGAGGAGAAGCGCTATCCATGGCAAAGCATAATTGCACTTGGAAGGTGCGTTCTGGGCGTAGACCTATCATAGTTACTAGGTTGATATCAAGTCACTCCAGAGCTCTCAAAATTTCTCTCTTCCTTGCATCATTTCTGAGTAAGGAGGCTCTTAGCCATTCTCATTACATGTGCGGAAGGGAGTTAAGTGACTCACTCAAGGAAAAAATACACAATGACCCGAACCGAAACTTCGATCCCTGCGGAATCCAGCGCGCTACCTTCTTAGGAACCGCGTCTCCTACAAGTATTAAATGATGAAATATGTACTGCACGACTGAGCTCCCTCGAGAGGATATCAAGTTGATAGTCTCTTGACTCCCTGTATTCACAAATATGCTATAACCGCACTGAAAAGGGGTGAGACACTCCATCGAAAGACTATAAAATTGAAACAAAAGACTTTGTTTCAATTTTATGGATTGCCTGCAACACAAGAGTTGATGCACATAACATTGTCACTGCAGCTGCAGCATCAACAATTTATCGAGATTTCCAAAAAGGAAAAAATAGATAAATTCCATCAAAAACATGTTATGAGTAAAACTGCATACTGACTACTATAGTAAGTACAGTTAGAACTCATTAAGCAGTGATTCACATTTATGTCTTTTTGATCAGTGGCACGCAAGTGATCTCTTGGGCAGATTATTTGATCAGATCACGACGGGGTAAAGAATAAGTGCGTTGAAAAAGATACTTCTTAACTCTTACCGCAAACTTTTCAGTCTCTTGCTTTACTTGAAGTGTTTTGTGTTGTTTTTTTTTTTACTTAGAGCTAACCTCTAGCGTCTTTTCTGGAATAGTTAAAATGTATACGTGTTTTATACAAGGGTACACCATCTAATCTATGGTCTAAAACGACACTTTCTAATTATACACACTTTGTTTTCTTCATTCCCCGCTACTTGTTCGTAACGTATCATTCTAATTCCATCAGATAGCGCTTTGATTGACAAACAGCGTCAAATTATCTTAACGTAAATTTATGTTGCCTTTCTTATGTTAATATGTACAAAGAAAAGCTTGATTGAAATCTGGAGAAGTAATTAGAAATGTTACCTAATGGTAACTTGGTAACGTTTATGTAACGTCAAACGTAGGGTGAAGTTTGTGAATTAAACAGATGTATAGACAATATCCTCTATTTGGCGCGAACATATGCACGGATACTTGTCCTCCGGCGTTATCAGCTCCAAGATGCGAATAATTTTCCCAGAGCGAAGTTTCGAGGAACAGATAATGTCCAAGGACAAATATACGAGCATATTATTATTGCTATAATAGTGGCTATATATCGTGTTTATTATCCATAAAATATTTGCAACACGCGTGTAAAACTGTTAACGAACAGCTTACCGATTACTGCGTGGCATTGTCTTCTTTTGAGTCTACTATGGTACGACTTTATGAAGAAAAAAATTTCCTCTCTTCTGTAAAAACCACATTACGCTCTCTCGTCTTGAATTTGATTGTAAACAAAGACTTATCTTGGTGGACGTAAGGTTTGAAATCGAGGAATATCACTTAGGTGACATCCTCGGGTATCTCCCAGTTTTAGCTGTGGGGAGTATTTGGTCACGTTATGCGTTTAGACCAATCGCGCGTTAGGAATAATATTTGAAGGATCATATACCAATTTGACCTCAAAAGGTTTCCACAGGAGTAAATTGTCACTTGAGTCCTTTGAAAAAAAATTGTAAATACAGCAAATTCCTCGTAAGAGAAGTACAGCTTTCAAAATTTAAATTTTTCTCATCCTTGAAGGGCTTGCCTTGTTATCTTAAACATTAATCCGATGATTATCTTTTCCTTTACAATCACTATCTTGCCTTTGTTATGTTAATCATATGTTCGTACTAAAGATCTGGCGTTTACGACATTGCCACCGTGTTTTCTTTCTCTTGGTCCATTGGAAGAATTTTCCTGATCTTTCCGGCATTACTGTTTTCGGCAGCTTAATTAAACTGCGCTTGCGCTGTCTAGCAAACAAATTACGAGGCAGATGTTAGTCGCAATTCATTTATTTTGTATAATTCATATAATTGTTATTCACATACAATATCTCTCTGTGATTTATCTAAAGTAGACTTCACTCGATTTTTGATCATCACAAGCTCAGTAACAAGTATTCTTTCATGGCAGAGACAATATTTTTTAATTAAAAAACATTCGTTTTAACTTTGGCCTGGCATCTCTCCTTTCTATCAACGGTACAAATGATTGCAAGGGTTCGTACACATCATCTTCACGAACTCTGTCACCTTCCATCAGTTCTTCTCGCTTGCCCGGTGGACACGGCATTCCTCCATTGCGGCCGCACAAAGCTGACCGAGTATATGCCGCAGCGATACATGAGCTCAGCAGCAACATCAGGAAAAGTGGGTTCATCACGTTGGCTTTGTATCTAAACGGCCCCCTACGACTAACAAAAAATCATCCAAGAGAGGACAAATTAAAATGACCAAACTAAAAAAAATATACAAACAAATGGATAAATAGATAAATAATGGTGCTGAAAACTATCTGCTGAATAGCATTAACTAACTTAATGTTGGAATCACAAAAATGTTTATTGAAATGCGGCTAATTGGTACATAATTTTTTTCAAGATATTTAGCAGAATGTCTGAAATATTATCTTTATAACTTAAGTCTTTCTCTCTTGGGCGGGTGTTTCTCAGCAACGCCCTTGCCGAGTGTCTTTTATGTAAGTTATTTTGGCAATATGATGCAACATTCTGCATGTCGCGTAATGTCACGTGAGGTCGTGTTATGTTGTGACATGGTGTCACGTCCAGTAACAAGTCACATCACGCCATGTCACGCTCTTTCACGTGTTGCCACACCAAGTTACTGATAATTTTTACCAAGAAAAATAGAAATATTTCCACACAGACATTTTTTCTTTTACGCATGACTAACAACGATAGTCAGAGCTTTGACACCACAGCAAATCCCACTACTCGTATCTTGTACTCCACATTCGAATCCCGCAGCCTGTCACCTTTAATTAGTTGTCATATTACTTTTTTTTAACGCTGTGAATAAAATGGTAACTTGTCGGGATCATATTTATATTTAACACTTACAAGTGGATCAGCACTAAAATGACTTCACTTGAGCTTTCAAAGATTTGAAGAGCCTGAGTGAGTGAATATGAAAATAATTGTTAGACAAGAAAGGATAGAATCATCGTCTCTTGATGTAAGAGGATTCGCTGTGTGTTGATAAACATCGACACTTAGAAATCTCAGATATTGGAAACGAACGATAGCAAAACTTGTAAAATTAAGGTAAACAAGTGAAGCAAAATGATCTTAGGTACGCTAAAATGTAAATCTCTTAAAGACAATATCAGTTCCCTGTCGAAAAAAAATCAGATCCCCGAGGTCGAAATCTTTTAGTTAACCATTTCAGATCTAAGATTTAGTTACCAATGCTCTGCACTGTCTTCCATACCTTTACCATAATTTCAACCCTGAGAATCTTTATTAAGATCGACAAAAATCCCTTAGTTAGTGAATATTTTCTTCTCGTCACTTTTCTACTTGAAAACATAGTGAGACTGTAGGGCAAAATTCATTTCTGGTCACGCTTGGGAGAAAAAGATTGAAGAAAACGTGGTCTGTCGATGGCGGATTGTACTATGAGTGTGAATATGAATAATATAACTCTAGTCACACGCTTTTGAACAAGTATTTCGAGGCGCTGAAAACAAAAACTAGTTTAATGTTTAATAAGTAGCACAGCTTAGTGTGGTGAAGAATGGACATTTCTGGGACGTTTCTTTGACGCAAAAAGGTCATTTGCTCAGTTACGGCCAAATTACCGATAATTTCTGATGCTTCGTTCCTTGGAATAACATGCTAATATCGACCTCAGGGAAGTCAGTCATCTCTCTCCTATAATCTATATAATAATTGTAAATCAAGGTTATTCGGCAAATTCGAGAAGAAAATTTCCAGGAGGATACTTGATGAAACTTACCTGTGAAACTTGGCCGCAAAATGCCCGTTTGCGCCAATGCGCTGACTTTTATTGGTTCAACAAATTGACTGGATTGTAATTACGGTTTCATGGCCTGTTTGCACAACCACGCAAACCAAGGAAACGACGTTTCCTTTTTCCAACAAAGCGTTATTGGTAATACGATTAATAATTACATATTGCTTCTTTTCTTCCGATTGAAAGTTCTGAGGGTGGCATTTGGACTTGTAGCTAAAAGAAAAACTGTTCAAATATCTTAAATACAATATTAAAGATCGTGACATCGTGAGAAACCCAGCGATCTACAGCATGTTGTGAATAATAGAGCAGAATTGTCCGGTAGTGCAAGCTACAAAACTTACATCAGCTCTATTTTATTGAAAATGCTCATGTAATGAAACTCGAACCATAATTAATGCCTCAATATGAGCTTGTTGTCTATTTCATTTGATTAGATCATGAAATGGGTACAATATTCATTCCGGCCCTGCAATAACAGAGGTCCTTCTTTTTCACAAAAGACTGATGAAGATTTAGAAGCTAGAAAAAGGACTACACTTACTACTGACCTCCTTTTTTCCAAATGAGCATTTCTACCAAATCATTAAGTCTGCTCCTTTTCATAAATCAATCCCCAAACTTTATCTCCAATTCTCAGAACCCAATTAACGAACACGCCTTTAACAAAAAAGGAGGCTTTTGATGCTTATTTTCTCTGTTAGATTGTCACTCAGCTATTTTAATTTTATCACTCTAGATGGATAAACTCTCCAAACTTGGGTACCAATCGTTTCAACCATCTCCATCATTCTGTGGTTATGCAAAGATTTCAGCGATGACTACAAAGATTCAAAGCCCCATAATGTACATCAAACAATATGGTTAGAGTTGTTTCTTTCCGAGCTGAGATATTTTTTACAGTTAGTAATTTTCACTAATTGCTGATTCATAGTAGTGAAACAAAAAGTTAAGATACATGCAGTGGACACAGCTTTATCAGACCATTATCTTATTATTATTTTCTTAAACTTTTGATCACTTATTTTATATTGCATGACGTACCGTACTCTGATAAAGCCAAAATTTATATCAATAAAGTTTCCCGAATACAGTTATGTAATTTAACATTACCTGACTCGGTTTTTTTTTATGATAAATGTATCGATCCTGATTGATTTTGAAAGTTAATATGATCATCTTGGTTATCGGGGCCTTTGGAAATGTGGGAAGTAATATCGAGCCAAACCTATAGTTTAATCCGCAGAATTTCAAATCAAATCAGATGAAACAAAATAAGAGTATTGTCTTTAGCCGCTTAATTTTGCCAGAAAGCAATTTAAAACACAATCATCTTTCAGTTAACCTTTCTGTAAGTCTTTTAAATAAGCTTCCTGGCGAGAATATTGTTTTTGCAGCAATGATTTTACGGTGCGGTTTTCAACTTGGATTTAACACCACTCTTAATCGTTATTTAACAAGCTAGAATTTCTTAATTTTGATCTGACATGGCAAAGAACAGCTAAAACCGTTTTTTTCTAAGATAAAAAAAGAAAACAGTTACTTTTCGCACAAGTTACGGCATCGCTTCGTCGAGAGGATAGTTGAACATTTTGATTTCTTGAGAATATTTCAAACAATCAGTTAACCCAAGAGCTAATTTGATTATATGGTTCACTTTGTCGCATGCAGCTCAATTCCAGCAAACTAATCGGAAAATCTTCGTGAGAAATACTTAGCTAATACTTATTTCATGATCAGCTGCAATTTATCTGCGAAATGAAATGAAAACGTCACCTGGAAAGAAGAACTGAACCAATATTTCAACTTTCATCAGTGATAGTCTGAGGGCTGCTCAGTTCAATATAATCTGGTATTTTTACAGTATGTAGCAAGAATTTGTTTGTGTCCCTTTTATATCATTTGTCATACAGTTCACCAAAGTAATCACTTGGTGTTCAAAAAATGGACATGGAAGAACAGAAGAGAAAAAAGATGACGAAAAAATAAATAAAACAGGAAAAGGAGGAGAGTATCTATCTATAGACTAATGGAGGAAATTTCATCCGGAAATTCACTTTGTGTCTCCTTCCCTTGTTGAAAATGTATAGAGGTAGGAAATGATACCTATGTCGATATTATGGTGGATATCTTGGTCAACAATCAAGCTTTACAAGATAGTGTCGAGATAAATTTTGGCCACGCATGATGGCCGATTTATGGCCTACAAATTAAATCTTTACTGATTAATTACTCATTAACGAGTTTAAATTTTTAAGCTCAAGCAAAGGCGAGGGTACAATAAAAAAGGCAAGTGCCCCTAAAACATAAACAAATAGATAAAAGAGGAGGAGGAAGAGAGGAGGAGGGTCAAATTTGCCGCGAGTGTCAAGTCTGAAGACAAGTGGGACGAACGAGCGAAACATGCCACGTCTTACACTGATCGCAGCAGACCTAGTAATCTTCCATTAAAACTCGTTACTTTTGTGCTAAGAACAGTCTTTTGTTATTAAAGTCACCAGGTAGTCTAGTGATTAATGCTCAATCAATTTCGGTTGCTATGACCCAGTTCCCCTTAAGTTTTGACCCTTCAGTACTCCCTGTCTTCCATTTGCCCTCCAGTGACTTAGTATCTTAGTTAGTATTAATAATATAGCAAAGGTAGAGGACATAAACTTTCTAATTTGGAGGCAAATAAATTTATTATCATGCACATATTGAGATTTTTACCAAAAGGTAACTTGGGCCTATTGAATTCTGTGACTAAGAATACTCATACTGATCACGAATTATGAAAAGTCTTAAAACAATTGCCACGATTTCGCACCATATAGTAACTGTATGATACAAAGGGTTACTTGTGCTTTTAAGAAACATCAAACTTGTTAGTGAAATCGATATTTTTTAAGTAACATCCTATGCCTTTGATCAAGAGATTAAAATCTCTTGCTGTGATTTTTGCTGTGATTCTTGCTGTGATTCAATTGCTGATTCCTTATGTATCAACAAAGGCAAATATTTGTATGTCAGCCTTAACAAGTAAACAAATTGCAAGTTAACAATAATCTTTACACTTTTTTGCATAGCCATCTGAAAAGCCATTTCCCTCCTTAGATTGGCATGAATGTCGGTAATGTATCTGTTCTAATCGACAAAGTTACAGTTTTTTCCTTGCAAGGTAAGAAAATTTCATGTATCGTATTCCCAGGTACTCTAATTAATCACAAGGTTCCTAAACGATTATAAAAAAACACCCAGTTTTTCCATTCAGTACTGTTGTAAACGCCAAAGCCCGCTTCTACAGAGAGTATAGCGTTATCTTATGCATATCTTACATTTACTGAAGGATAGACTACTTCTAATTTATGCTTTAACAAACTGTTAAAAGCTTCGCCTACAACATTAGGATTGAATCTAAAATTGGAAATGCTTAATCGCGAAAATACGGAGTCAATTTGATGTTATTACTAGTATTGAGATACAAGTGTATATTCCGTCAGCATACAAATATCAAATTCCATCCAAGTATTTCTTAGACTCAAACAAATTATATCGCCATCAAAGTCATGGACGTTTATAATTAGTAAATTTTACAACGTAAATCCTTTTTTTCGCAGGCTGGAAATTTCTATGTACATTGGCGGAAAAAAAACTTGTCAGAAATCCTTGAGAATAATAACTATTTCTCGAGTTGCAGTTTATTAAGTTGTCAATTATCTTTGTCAAGTCATCTTAAGAGGAAGTTCTATAGAGTGATTTTCAATTTTCTAAGTTCCCCTGACAAGTTCCTTTGTTTAGGAAAAAAATGACATGTCACAATAGGATGGAGAGGGAGCGGAAAGATGTAACATGAATTATACATTTTAGTGAACTGCAGAAATATATCTTACGAAAATTAAAAAGAAGAGGAGTAGAAAAACTAATCATGACAGGGGAAGATTCCGCGTGAAAATTGTTGAACTACACTACTCTTGGTGGAGCTTTCTTTTTGTCATAAAAAGGTGGAACTTAAAAAAAAAAAACAGCGTACAGCATTTTTACTCTAATGTTGCTACTTCTTCTCTTCCTTTTTGTTTGCTATCTTTATAGAGCGTACACAGTTACCAACGACCTAATGTTTTTCTCAGCACAGGTAACAAGTGAAAATCACCAGGGCTACTTGAAATTGAAGTCACAGTTCAGAGATCCAGCATATTAAACCAACCAGCAGACCAGCCTTCTAGTTCGCATAATTCAAGCTCTCTGATTGGTCCAGGATGTTCGTTACGTGCCACCTCCTCACCCAATCAGATGAAAAGTAAAATCAACCACCACTTGTCCACTTGCACTTCCCGCGATTCAAACACATGTTTTTACCTAATTTCCAAGTAATATTCCGATTTTTTTTGCAGCCATTTCGCATGAATTTGGCTTTGGTTCTTGTGGCTCTCAATCTAAAAGCGTTCCAGACTGAGTTAAATGCTGTACCTGATTAATTGCTGATCCTGATGAGTGGGTCCGAATTATAGCGCTGACATGTGTAGCTGTTGACAAGTGCTCTAATTTTTTAGTTCTTCGTCTTACAGACGTAGGTACGTGACAAATTGCAGTCTACATCATTCCACTTGCCATTTACGGTCAACGCACAGTTTTCTTTACCTCTGCTATTATTGGGATTACTTCCACCCCAGTTTGCATATCCGCCCCAGTTTTCACCGTCCAGCCAGACCCAGGTTCCCTCCAGGACAGTGTCACTGGCTCCAATCCAAATGGTCGTATTAGTAGGAGCTAAAGAGGCGACAAACTGATTCTCTTCAAGAGAATGAATTGTAACCAATATGGAACCCAAATCCGAACAATGCTGCTTCGCTTTATCCCACTTTGTTTTGACGTTAAAAAACTTATAGCACGACAGGTTGAACTTTTTCCACCCGTCTGTAAGGTTGCAGACATCTGCAGAGGACAGCAAATTATTGTATAAATTTCTTTTCTTGGGAATTCCTTTTATTAAAGCTTTGGAAACAGGAAAGGTTAAAGGAGAAGAGATGGGAGAAGTAAGAGGAGAAGAAAAATGATGAGATTGAAGGGAAAAAAGGAGGAAGAAGGCTAGAAAAACAACAACAAAAACAACAACAAAAACAACTATACAACATAGACACCATAGCATCTATTTTATCACTGGTTAGAGTCTGTCAAGTCACTAACGCCGGTCTACCACATAAAATGACTTACGAGGTACTCTTTACAGGAAACTTTTTAAAGATGCGATTTTCCGAATTTAAGTCTTACCAAGTCACTTTTGATTCTTTCTCATCGAGATGTAAGGGTTTTAGACGGTAAAAACAAAAAGAGAAGAAATAATAAAAGTAGAGTTGGAAAAAACTGAAGAAATAGGGTGAAAACTGGAGAGTGCATTTTGTATTTTATATTACCTTCATGACAGTTCTTTCCCTTGGAACCTATTAGACATTGACATTCGTAGTTTCCATCGCCATAGTTCGGCTTGCACATTCCCCCATTTTTACACGGTTCTGCAAGACATGGTGTCTGAAAAGAAAAATTGGAACTCTTAAATGCGTAACAAAGTCCCTGTGATCAACTCGATAAGTCAATTAAATGAGATCAATAAAGGTTACAGAAATTTCAGTCTGTGAAACGTCACCTTGTGAATTTATGACTTCAGCTCTTTGATCCGACGCCATAACCAACGGCGTTCAAAACAACTCACTTTTGACGGTGGGTCAAATAACTAATTTACGTTTAAAATAAAGTTCAAAGATTTGGCTTGTGATGTACGTGGCTCTTGATATGCAAACAGCTAACATTAATTATTTTAATCGTGCTATACGCAAAATTAAAATTGCTCTCAATAAGCCTGAGGAAAAAATATCTTGCTTTCTTGGAGTTGCGTTTATTTATCAAAAGATTGAATTGGCTCTTTTTTCAGTTTTTCGGTGAGTTTAGATGAGTTAAAAAAAACCAAGGTATTGTTTTCATAGCTCTACACTCACTTAACTTACTTTTCATCGGGTCTCTGTACTCACCATGATGGAAAAGTGATGCGAAGTTGCGTTTTCTTGAAAGCTTTTCGAACTGACATATTTATCAGACGCCATCATCTCGCACCAAAATGGTTTGCTTTCGTCAAAAGAACTTGCCACATTCACAGAGAGGCAAGTCGAGTCCTGTACACATTTAAAGCAACACTCGACGAAATTTTGCACTGGGAATTCATCGGAAATTCTTGTTGCGTTTAAATAATGGAAGCTGTGCTGGACAAAATTTTTGAATTGGAACGTGGAGTTGAGACAAGATTGAAGGCTCTCTACCTGCTTTTGTAAAATATTTTTCAATAAACAAAACGTCAAAATTTTGAAGTGTAGAGTCGGGAGTGCCATCATTGAATCCACAGCCGAATCCGGTGGAAGAATTTAAAGACCTACGGAAAATTGAAAACAAGCAGCGTTAATTGATGAGAATGTTTCAAGCAAGCCTTGCTCAATTTGCCGAAAAGTGATTATCGCAAGGGAAAGTTACGCCAGAAACTACATTTCTTTCCTCCTTGCCATGGCATTAAAAACTAGACTTCAACAATTTCTTTCCCTGTTGTTTCATCCAAACTGATTGCAATAATTAATTATTTAACTGGATTAGGAAAATAGAACAGAAAATAGTTTACCGGGTAAATGCAAATGATGTGCCCAACTATTTTGAATTAACTGCTTTCGTGAACCCGTCGTATATACATAAAAGTGAACCGAAACACCTTAAACCGAAAGCAAAAATACACCAAGTAAAAAGTATACAGCGTTGTGATACTAATGTAAGATTAAAAAGAGGCACTTAAGGGAATTAAAAATTAGCATTACCTGTCTATGTAAAGCAATCACCTTTCCCTTGTTTAGTCGTCAAAAGCATTACAACTTTGAGTTTGAATAGAAACATCATAAAGATCATTTTGTTCCATACACATCTTCCTACTAAAAGGACTGAATGATGTAAGAATATCTTATTGATTTTTTCCTCCACGATTTTGTTTATTTTACCAATTTCACAAAGGTTTAATTCTTTTTTACCGGACTCTCACCACGACAAAATACTCTCTTGCAACGAAAGAATTTCTAATTTCCAAATGACCTTTGTAACTGCGATATTTTCAAATTATAAGGGTTAAAAACCTATTTTGGACTATTTCTCTATAGTCCATTCTGCAAATTCTAAACGTTATGATGCAAATTAATATTTGCAAAGAATTCACTTACCTTTGTACTTTTGTACTCAGCTAGTTCAGAACGAAGACACGTAATTTTCTTTTCGCAGTTGGTAGAGCCTTTAGGCTTGAAGTAACCTTGGTTACATAATAAAAAAAGTTTAATTGACGAACGCATTTTCTTTGTTCCTTTTTATCTCTTAAAAAATCAATGTGTTATCTTTCTTCGTAGACTGTCTTACTACTCTGAAGCACATTAAGTTATTGTGTAGGAAAATAAATTCGTTATGAAAACTGGCAGTACTACATTAAGAAAAACATTTAGAATTTATTTTCAAATCACATCGTCATTTTCAAATATTAGCTGTTTCCAACACGCATGAAATATTTATATGACTTCACAGTCATATAAATATTATGCATGAGACAGCTCGTGAACTCAGCTTGCTTTTCTGATAAAGCTCATTATAAATACAAAGGGCTGAAACACCTTTCATGACTACTAACTCGGTGGCTTATCCTTTATCTTAGTTTCTCTTTGGTGTATTATTACTCGTATTCTGTAGATGCAACATACTACATTTAATATATTATCGCCAAACAGAGAACTTTGTTAAATCAGTCAAAACTGCTCTAGTCCAATCAAATAACAGTGGAACCTCGATTTAATGAACCTCTATATCACGAAGTCCTCGGTATATCGAACGATACTCTTCAGCCCGGCCAAAGTTATAGTAAAATGTATGGGAAACAACCTCGATATAACGAAATCCTATTTATAACGAACGCAATCCAGAAGCCCAAACGTATAATATACCCCGGTATAACGAACAAATGTCAACACGTGACAAAAGACAAATGCGAGCTATAGCTGTAGCTTCTTATAGACATTAAAGCACAAATGTCATCTACAGTAACCGTTCCGATCCCAAAATGCTGGGTAACGCGACGTCACTCCACAAAAAAAATAATGATCAAAAATAAAATTATCAACCAACCCTTGACATAAACGAACAATCTGGTTATTTTTCCGCAAATTAGTTAAATCGAGGTTTTCGATGTAACCACAGGCAGCCCAAGCTCCAGCTGTGAGATGATCATCTTGCGAAATAAGAGTCATGGCGAGTTTTTAATGAAATATTTACGACCACTGTTAGGAACCAAAAAATATATAGTCGTATTCTCATTAAAAATACCTCACCCTACTTCCACAGTGCATCGCTTGTTATCTAACTACTTACTATGTTGAAAAGAACTCATTTTGGCGAATTATTTATTTTTAGGTTTACTACGTACATAATAAGAGCTTGTGGGCCGATTGTGATGTAACGAACCCTTTATATAAGTCCCTTGGCACTTCGTGAAATCGAGGTTCCACTACATAAACATCATTTATAATAAGTTTTGTCGCATAATACTGAGAGGAGAAAAGTCATACAACTTATTATGGGGGGTGGAATCGGAGCATTTTATTTGTGTCACGATGAAATTTTTTCTTATTACTTCATAGGGCTGTCCTATTCTTCTTCCCCCTCCCCCCCAGAAAGTTCAAAAGTTCTCCTCTTTAAACTCTGTTGGCGAAAACTGATCCCTCCCCCGTTTCCCCATGTCATTCCCCTTAAAATCCTCCGCCGCCCCCCCCAAACAGGCGATAAATATGACTGGTCCCCTACCCAAACGATACTCTAGTTTACGTATTATTTGAGCAAACCAAGGAAAACCCTGAAGTCTTTTATAATTCAAGTTCACTTGTATCATGTATCAATGCCAATTAAAATGTAAATGTAGTAGATGGAAATAACTTCGTCGTTTCTATCCAGAGAGTCAGCCCCTAAAAGTTGGCATTTGAAGCTTCCGTCATAGTAATTGGGCTCACACTTGTGTTGATCACTACGAGGGTCCTCATTACATGGTGTCCAAAAAAAAATGATTTGATAACTAGTAATGGAGAAAGCTCCTCGGTATTCAAGATGCAACGTTCACTGAAGTCCTTTTAAAGAACCTATCTAATTTGTCATAAATTTTTTTCACCCAGAAGGCTTAAAGCACTTCGGTTTATTTTTGCAGCATGACATTTACAACGGAAGACAAAATTTCTGAGGAAAAGCTAGTAAAAGGTTCAAATCCTCTGAAAGTTCGAATTATTTTCCGTAATTGCTTAAATTATAATCTTCAATGCGAGGATCGGTTTAACATGTCGTGTATGATAATTCGTTTTGTTTATCTCATGTATGCTGTTAAATGTTCCTGCTTCGGTCTGCGATAAAATGAGAATATTTCCTGAAAATTTCTTTTGAAAGCATTTCTTCAGTTCAATCAATGAAATAAGAATTCTAAAATCTTTAAACCAAAATGTAAGAAAAAGGGGGGGGGAAGAGGTAGAATATTGGGTAAAGTGTCATGATGAGAATTTTCGAGAACTGCGCCATTTTAGGCGGCCAACTTCTCATACCCCCCCCCCCCCACAATTATCCCCACACCCCCACAATTATCTCCACCCCCCCCCAACAATTATCCCACCTCGTCAAGCTGAGATCCTTCAGTGTAGAGTATCATAGATTTTTCTTCATTCATCCAAATCTGAGATTGATTATTCCGGTATAGTATATAATTTATTCAAAACAAGTTAGTACCCTTTTAGTTTTATCCAAAAGTCATTCACTGAAAGTGAATGTACTGATTGTTTTTCCCTTTTTAAAGACTTCGTGAAGCTGTTCAAAAAGTTTTTGCTCTTACCTTAATTGAAAAATGAGGCGAATTTGAGTCCGCTTGAAAGCTTTCCGAACTGAAATATTTGTCAAAAGCCAGCATTTCGCACCAGAATGATCTGTCGCTAGAAGAACTTACCATATTTACAGAAACACTGAAAGCCACAACACGTACAAGGGGATTATAGTTGGATTGAGAAAATCATAACAGAAACGGCACAGGTACTCTACTAACAATGCAAACAAAATAGGTGTTTTCAGCTGCTACTTTGTTGTAACCCTTACAGTATGTAAACCGTAAAACGTTTCCTATGTAAATCAAAGCAAAATTTGCCAGGCAGAAAGTTTATAACCAAGGAGGGGTAACTAGGGATAAGGATATGAGGGTCTCAGTAGGATAATTAATGGCTTTTACAGCTAACAGTTTTAAACTATACACGGAAAATTACGCGTGTCTGATTGGCTGAAAAGAATGCAGTTTTCACGAAACACGAGTGCCAAGTTTTAACACGGGTGCAAATTACAAATAGCGCGCTGCCAAAATTTCGTCCGTCTTCACCTTCCGAGATGCGTTTGTCATGTAAATTATTAACAAGTAACGACGGGATTTCTCGAGCAACTTGGTGTAAATAAGCACCGGTAAATTTTTCAAAGACTACAAATTGCACTCGCCCTATGGGCTCAAGTAATTTTGGTGTCTTTGAAAAATTTACTTGCGCTTATTACAGCGCTCTAAAAAATTGCACTCGAAATCATGTTGTTACCTACACAAATTATGGCTATTTTACGGCTGACGGTTAATATATTTCCGTTACGATAAAGAGAAATGCAGAGAATTTATTTCAGTCGTCTACGACAAATCGTTTACCTTTTAGGTCAATCAAAAAAGAAGTTCATAGCAAAGTAATTGTGGTACAAGGTACACTATAAGAATTATATGGGAATCTAGAGCATACTACTTCACTAAAAGTGTTATTATGTGTAGAAAAATGCAATAAATAAGAAACAATCCAGCATTTTAATACTTCCAAAATGACACATCGTAGATGGTAAAAAGTTTGGTAAACTTTGTGAAGACTAACGGTTTAAAATCTGTCATTTTTTATGGCTCACGGATAAGTTTTTGGCTGCTTCACGATCCTTTACGGCCAAACGCGAACGGTTAACCCCGTATGCCAGAATCCATTCAGATTGTGATGTTTATTCATGTTTGGCTGGTAGACGTAAACATAATTAAAATTAAAATTAAACCCCCTTATGATACAGCTGTTGAAGTCTGTGTCTAGGGTGCCTACGAGGATACCAGCGAAAATGTGCGCGGAGCGTTACACTTTGAGCGTTACCACCTGATTGCGTGACTTCCCAACCAGATGATTCGTCGTGAAGCGGTCGTGGCTTGTCGGAGATGTTTTGTCACATCACAGACAGTAATCAAATATGGCGGTTGTCATCAGTCAAACTTGATTCTTTTCGGCAGTTATTCATGCACTTCGTTTCTTCGAGGTAAAAAAGAAACAAAAAAAAATATGGCTTCAATTTTTCGGGCTTCTCTCCGCCCGTTTTTTCGAGCTGTTGATCAAACATTCTTTCTAAGAAGCTGTCCCGTGCGTTGGAAATCTGCATCGTCACAAGCTCAGGTGAAGTTAATAATTTTAAGAAAACGGATCATGAATCGAATGTGTAGTTATATTATCACTTCTTATTCCTGGCTTTTCTTCAGAATTTTTTGCAAGGTGAAGGTCACTGTTTCGACTCCTTACAAGAACTACGACGTCATGTATTTCCAAAATATGACTACTCCTAAAAGGATCGATTAGGAAGACGTGTACGTGCAATGTCACGAGCATTTTGTCTGATCGAGCTACAGTAACTTTCTTGGGTTAGATCTTTATCCATTTCGGGGTGCACGATGTCATCATTTAAGAAGTTCCTTTAAGGGGATCTTGGATTTCCTTTCTTCTCTCGTGTTTATTCCGTAAACCAAGCGTGTGAACTGTTTCTTGTTTTTGTTTGGTTCAAATGAGTTTTTTTTTTCATTGTTATACAGTGTTACATCCTATTGGAACGATCTAATTTTTGTCCGCAAACCTCTCCTTCCCTGTCTAGTATATGTTATGATTCAAAACCATTAGTTTTTAGGTACCATTTTGAGAAGTTAAAGCTGATCAGAAAGGATTAATCTCCTTAGACACGTGTGAGAAAAAAGTAGGAAGGGTCAAAATTTTGAAAGCTTGTTTATAACCAAACAATTTGAACTCTCCTTCTCCAAAATCATAAAGCATAGCGAAACAGGGGAAAACCATATTTAAAGAAAGCCAATAAATTTTCAACCCAAGGATGATATTAAACCAAACTGAATTTTGTAAACATCCAATCTTTTTTAATGTTAGAGAATAATATTTAACTCACAGGTTAGTTATGCAGGCATCAACGATGACATAAGAGGAGCCTTTGAGCAAATAGTAGGTGGAAAAAATGTTTCATCTGCAATGGTTGTAAGGGAACAACATGGGAAAGATGAATCACACCACAAATGTCATCCTGCGGATCTTGTTGTGTGGCCAACTAACAGAGAACAAGTCATCCAAGTGGCCAAGCTCTGTAATGATTATTGTATTCCATTGATTCCTTTTGGATCTGGAACAGGCCTGGAGGGAGGTGTTGTTGCAAAAAAGGTGCCAAATAACATTTTTTGATTCCTTTTGGCCCTTTAAACCCTGACCAGGAACTTACAGTAAGGTCTGAATCATTCACTAAGATCATGAGAATAAAGGAAATGCTTGCCAACTTAAGAAGCGTTGATATTCAAATAAATTCAATTTGTCAGTACCAAAAGAAACATAGAGTAGAATATGGATACTGAACTTAGTGTGTAAAGGATTAAAGAAACAATGTTACACCTGCATCAGTTCTGTATCTATTCCTGATATTCCCAATACACAAGTGCATTAAAATTTCAGATCAAGTTCTGAGAAACTGTGCACCTATCCCCCTCCCCTCCCCTAGCCCAATAACTGTGCAGTTGCTAAGATACTGACACTGATCCAATCTTTTTGACAAAATATATATTTTTTTGTTGGAGTTTGTCCAGTATTTCCCTGGGTCTGTGGTCTTAACCCTTTTACTCCCAAAATCTTATTTTTAATTCTCCTAAGTGTCTGCCATGATCTCATAATTGATGTTATTCTTTATTCTCATCACATTTTTGCTTGATATTTTATTGATAATGTAAGGAGAATTTCTGCCTTTGTCACTCATTGGAGTTAAAGGGTTAATAGAATTTGATTCAGGACTTTATTGAAAAAACTCAGCCAATTTTACATTCCTGTTTCTCTTGTGTCTCTACCAAAAAATTGAACACTTCAAGCATTTCTTCATCATTTCAGATTGGTTGATGAAAAATCCTGAATATTTTGTCTTCTTTTTCAGGGTGGTGTCAGTGTTGACATGACAAAAATGAATGAAATTCTTGAGGTGAATGCAGAAGATTTTGATGTCACAGTACAAGCAGGTGTTACAAGGAATCAGCTAAACAATTATGTGAGGGACACAGGGCTGTGGTTTCCTGTTGGTATGTAACACTGTTACAGCAACTTTTTTCAATATTTAAATGTTTTTACAGAGGTGGAGGTGAATAGTGGAGGATATTTACCCAGCCATTAAGAGGTGAGGTGAACATCAACCATTTTTACAGACACTGAGTTGAATAATTGTTTCAGTATATACTACACAGAAGCCAAAAGATCAGTTTATTTTCATTCATGTACTGAAAAGAGGTTAGAAATTGAACTTGTGACACATAATTATGTCTCTTTGGCTGCTCTGTGAATAGGTGAATAGTATGTGGTAACACTTACAAACTTAATCTGTTCAGTATGTGCAGAAAGAACTTCTTACCCGTGTGACTTATACTAATTCTAAGATAGATTATAATTTATTTCTTTCTTCTTTTTTGGCTTTTTTGGCTTTTTATAACTGAATCATTTCATGTTTAGATCCAGGAGCAGATGCCAGTTTAGGTGGTATGGCATCTACAAGTGCATCTGGAACAAATGCAGTCAGGTATAAAGAGAATTATTTTGTGGCTAGACAAAAAAATTTAAAATGGAACTGAATATCAAATTATCCATGCAATATTCACTGAAAACCTGAGTAATCAATTTAGGTGGTAAATGTTCTATGTGGTTGCCAAATGACAAAATGGAAGGCAACCATTTTGAAATGTACTGCACCTGCTATAATCACCTCACACAAGGTGATTATTGTGAGATATGATGCAAATCTTGACCAATCAGAGCATGTGTGTCTCTATAATCACTGAAGCAATTATACTAAAAATAAAAAATAAAGTATTTTGCCAGTTTAAAAGTTAACAATAATCTGATATTGCTTACTATTTTCAATATTTTGAAAAGGTATGGGACCATGAGAGAGAATGTTATGAACTTGGAAGTAGTTTTAGCAGATGGAAGAGTTGTCAATACTGCTGGAGAAGGGCGAAGAACTAGGTACACTGTTGGCTTAAGTTCACTTTACTTAAATGTACTTAATATTTAAATTGGCTTAGAGTGGTGACAGGGAGGTCTTTTATGTCTCTCGTAAAGAGACACTAGGAGCGTTAGATAACAACTGAACTAATCTCACTTGCTTCTCCACTGCAGAAAGACATCAGCTGGATATAACCTGACAAACTTGTTTGTGGGCTCTGAGGGTACCTTGGGAATTATCACAAAAGTGACACTAAGGTTATATGGGATACCAGAATCGGTATGTGCATGTAATAACTTTCTTAAACTAGTTTCTGGTGCCTACCCCTCTACTCCCAGGGCTCTGTATGCATATTCTCAGTACTGTTCTCTATAAGTTTCCCAAGGTGCTGACAAGGAGAATTTATGTAATGATTAAGAGCTTCTATTTTTGCTGATCATTTCCTTTATTCTCATGAACTTATATTGGATTCAGGGGTGATATTGTGAGGAGAAATTAGATGGTAGTCACTCTAAGGGGTCAAAGGACGAAGCATAGTGATGCAAACTGTTTCAATAATATGTTAGGGAAGCTTCAAACTCACATTTTTAGTGATGCTTTTGGGAAAACATTTTAATAACTGTATGGATGGAATCTTTGGCTGTAGATTGTAGACCACAGCGCTCTCCTTGAATAATAGTACTGGGAGAAGTAGAAGGCTGTATGGACATTTATTTTATTTTTCTGGGTACAAAATTACTTATTGTGTATATTGTTTTTCTCAATTTGTATATGTGAATTACAGACAGCTTCTGGAGTGTCATCATTTTCTGACGTCAAGTCAGCTGTGGATGCTGTGGTAGAAATTCTACAGAGTGGCATTCCCATGGCTCGTATTGGTAAATTGACTTTAAACCCCTAAATTTTTATAATTTTAGGCCTATTTATTGATGAAAATTGTTAGGTTTTTAAAAATAATTACCCTGTCTTTTAAGAATTATATGAGTCAGTTGTTTGATTGCTTCCAAAACTCTTGGCTCTGTAGCACATTCCTAGAGCTTCTGATCATTATGTAACTGATACTTGCTTCAACCTTTTGTCAACTATTTTGGAGTGCTGAATGTTTGTCCCTACATCTAGATCCTAATCATGCTGTCAAATTGAGTTCTTTGTAGGTTTTAAATGGACTTTTTGTTGCCTTTTTCATGTACAGAGTTTCTTGATGATGTGCAGATTGATGCTTGTAACAAGTTCTCAGGACTGAATTACCCTGTAACTCCAACACTGTTCTTGGAGTTTCAAGGGTCAGAGAATGGGGTCAAGGAGCAAGCCTCTGTCGCAGGTCAGATGAGAAGCTGACATTAACCCTTTAACTCCCAAGATCTGATTGTTAATTCTCCCATCCAGCTGCTACACATTTCCTTGTAAATTAGTCGCGTTTGGCGTTAGATCAAGATAACAACTACCTGATAAGTTTGAGTATTCTCATTACCTGTTTTCTGGATAATGTATGGATATTAGGACAAGGTACATGTTAATCCCTTCTGGGAGTTAAAGGGTTATTACAGGTCTATGTGCAAGCATACATACTTAATTTATTTTTAAAAAAGGAAATTTTATATGAAGTCTAAGGACATGGTAAAGTTAGTTACGTACGTTTCAGGGCTATTTTTCCTCAATTTGTTTGGAAAATGCTTAGGAATTACCAGTAGCAAAGTGGACTCTATATCAAGTGGATCTGATAGTGTCTTGGTGTGGGTCATCATGTTGTATTCTTGAACAATGCATTTTACCCTCACAACGTCTCTCGAAACCCAGGAGTAGAATGGCTGCTGGTAAATTGTCTAGGAAACTTGACACTAACTGAAACTTATAAGTTATAACCTCTCGTTCTACTCAGGAGGACTACTAGAGATGCTGCTGCTTGCGCTGAGCTACAGAAGCTGAGATATTAGCTGCAGCTGTAATTGGCCACTAAGTTTGCCTGACATACATGTACAGTGTAACACTTTTCCTTCATGTGCTGTAGGTGAGATTATTGAAAGTAATGGTGGGTCTAAGTTCCAGTGGGCCACAGAAATTGAAGAGAGAAATAAATTGTGGAAGGCACGACACAATGCATGGTATGCTGACATGGCTCTTAGACCTGGTTGTAAGGTTAGAGTGAAACATCAGTCTCATCTACTTCTTGAAGTTTCTAGCATAGATCTTTTTATCTTAATTACTTTACACCTTCCCTCATTGTCAATATCTAATTTCGCACCAATAGATGCAGGCAAGTTGTGTATTTAAATTTTTTTTCCAAATGGTGCCATGGTGATGTACTTAGTGTAACTTTAAGCCATTTCTTTCAGAGTTGTATTTGTTTCCATTCTTTTTCAGGGAGTTTCAACAGATGTCTGTGTACCCATCTCACGACTGCCAGAGATTATCGTGGAAACTAAAGAAGATATCATGGCTTCTAACTTAATTGGTGAGTTTCACATGAGTATGAACCTGCCTTGCCCTGCCCCCCCCCCCTACACACCTTAACTTCCAGGAAAAGTAGTATCTGTTGCTCGTGGTTAATAACACTGTACTCGTTCATTTCTAGCCCCTATTGTTGGGCACGTGGGCGATGGAAACTTCCATTGTTTTATTCCCGTAAAACCGGATGACGAGGAAGAACTCCGGGTAGCGAAGGAATTCACCCTCAGATTAGGAAGGTAAGAACACTCTGGATTAAAGATTGTCCTTGTCTTTTCTATCTAGCTCCAATTGTTGGACATGTGGGAGATGGAAATTTCCACTGTGTATTGCCTCTTGACATGGGATGTGAAGAGGAAGTGCGGAAAGCGAAAGGTTTTATTGATAGACTAGCCAGGTAGGTCCCAGGCCAAATTCTTGTGTTGCGCGATACAGGCAATCCACCTTGGAATACTCCTTGGAGTACGTTGAAGAATCCCTACTCTTACAAAGTTACAGAAAAAACGAAGTTTTCAAGCCTGCAGTGCAGGCGTATTGTTAGTGCGAGCTAAAGTTGTAAGCTCGCGATCGTTTATCCGATCGGCCATGTTTGATTTGAGGTTTGAGTGGACGGTGGGGGTAGTGTAATCTTCACTCGGGCGATAGACGGGTGATAAACAGCTCTTTCGCCTGACATCACCGCTATTTTGCGCACCCGGTTTTTTGGGGGGTTTTTTTTTTGCCCGCTTTTTCGCTCACTTTTACTAACTAAGAGGCTAAATGACTGTGAACAGGATATGATATATTCTTCACGGTACCAAAATTTCTCTTTCTTCTGTCACCCAGACGAGCCCTTGCCATGGGAGGCACGTGTACTGGAGAACATGGTGTTGGGTGTGGCAAGCAAGCTCTGTTACCTGAAGAGATTGGTGCAACGGGTGTGCAAGTCATGAAAGACATAAAGAACTTGTTCGACCCGAATGGGATTATGAACCCTGGAAAAGTATTCATATAAAAAAGGCGATCTCTCGTGTTACACACAACGAAACATAGAAACAAACTAAAGTTATACATAAGCATAAACGAGAGGAAATAAATGAGTGATTACCAGTTGTTTTAAACTGGATAAATGATCGCTGATCACTAGACTCCGTTCTGAGTATAAGTTATACCTCTTACTAAGTAATTCTTCTTTTCTTTCTTATCCAGCAAAAGTTACCAAACGTGAAATAGATTTAAAAATTACGGAAGAGATATGCATATAGTCAGAGAGGTGTTGTTTAAAATTAGTGTCCGTAAATCAACTGTGTAACTTTTGTGTTCTTTATAGGGGTAAATGTTTTCTAAGTTCCGAAATGACTATCAATTGATTACTAGCTACCGTAATTTCAAGGCGACTAAGTTAACTTTTTAACTCCCAAGATCTCATTAGTAATTCTCCTTACTGTCTGCCATACAGTTCTCATGATGTTAGTTTGGAGAATTTGGTATTGGATCAGCTTATAATCCCCTAACTGATATTTTTCTCTATTCTCATCACTTGTCTGCTTGATATTGTAATGATATTGTGAGGAGAAATTCTGTCTTGGTCGTTCATGGGAGTTAAAGGGTTAAAAGGTTTATGTTAACCAGCGCACAAGAATCGAAAGAAATGGCTTTTTTCCGTGAAGCTTTTGTACACTCAAATGGTTATCGCCTTTAGAAATATGTAAAAAAAAAAAACAAAAGACAAAAGCAAACAAACAAACGAATATTTAAGTACTCTATTCATCCTGGTGACAGAGGGGAAAAGAAGTTAATTTCGAACCCTGGTGTTTTATTTAGCGGTTGAAAATTGTAAGATTTTTTTCTTCGAATGTGTAACGTCTCGCATATAAAACGATAGTGCGGGGGGAGAACGAGAGGGGTTTATAATCAGTTTGTAATTAACTCACTTATCTTTCGATTTGTGCAGAGGTAGTTGCATCGTAGAGTTAAAATTATTGGATGGAACAATAATTCTATAAGATTAAAATGATTAGTTTTTTACTGAGTATGTGAGCAATATTATACAATAAACATTTACTCAAAGGATATCTAATTTTCTCATCCTTGCTCTTAATTTTCTGTTTTTTCTCCTTTCTTCAATAATTTGTCCTCTGTGAATTTTCTAAAGGAAATCAGAGTTTAAGTCACTTCAAGTGGCGCTCGTACTAGATGAAAGCAAGTTGCATCTAAGAATCCGTCGGATCTGAAATATTATTTCATTACAAATTGCGATTAAAATATCAATCACCACAAATCACCAGCTGAATTTTGCACGCGTTTTTGACCGGTGTACAACCGGACATCTTGGGTGACAGAACAATTGACTTTTGACAGTGGCTCTTCACAGTTCCTACAATGCTTCGTGATGGATCAAATAGTGCATTAGTTTGATAAAGTGTAGAAACAAGCTGATGTTAAGAATTTCCACGCATAAAGTCAAACCCATTGAAACACAATATGGATTAGCTGCATTCTTAGAGCTGAGTAACAGCTACACACAAAACTTTTATATAAAGAGACAAGCAGTTGTTTTATCATTTTTTAATCATCAACAAACGCAAACAAAAGAACAATCAAATATTAGAAGCAATTGAAGAAGCCACGTCGATGTAACCAGCGAAGAACCTCTTCGAAGTGGCCTCTGTTCATGAAAAACAGTTTGATTTTATGAACTGAGTTTAAATTGTATATTGACTTCCGTAAAGAGTTTCTAAAGCTCACCTTTCAAGCGCTAGCCCTTCGTCAGTCGCTCTGACAGAGGGCGAACGCTTGAAACGTGAGCTTAGAAACTCTTTATGGTGGCTAGTTTACATTATCAATTCAGTTCATAGAACCAAATTACCATGTAACACCCCTCACCGATGCAACACCACAGTTTCTTTAGAAAGAAACCCCTTTACTCATGTTCATGACAACGGAATTCTAACTCTGTCTCGAGTGTTCTTGACAAAACCTCGTATTTGATCCTTTTTAGCTTCTGTTGTTTGATGATAGGTGTTTTAATTTTTCTTGTTTTCAAGGGCATAATCCATTAAAAAAAATACATGTAATCATTTTGTCCTGAACGCTTCGGATCCTGGAAGAATTATAATGTCTCGATCATAAGCTGTTAAAATGCTGGTAGAAGGTTTCTTCTCTGGTTTCAGGAAAGCATGCACTGCATCGCTTACATCTGATACCTTTACGCGTTTCGCGCGAGGCAGAGAAAAAATGAAGTGTTCTGATTAATATACATAACTTTGGTCCAAATTTCGGTGAGTCCTTGTTTTGACTCAGACATTAGATACCAGTTGAATCGAATTTTAAAGAAAACTTTTTATTTCAGTCAATTCCTAACGACGGAGCTTAGCATCACTTTGCTTTTGTATTCAGGGGGAATAATGCCCCAGGAAATCAAACAATTATAATAATCAAGAGGCGCAAACAGAGAACCAGACTCGAATGCATTGATAGGACGCGTGGGAACAACGCGCACGAACGAGAAGGCGCGCGGGAAAAAAACAGGTAAAACAAAACACGAACATGTTAATTTCCAGCCACATAGCATGTGTCATCTGGATACCAATGAACGTATGAGTGCCTCCACACTTTGGAGAAACAAGTCCGTATAGCCTGCTGTTTTGTAGGCTCCGGCAAGAAGTTCCATATCGGCGAGAAACAGTTTTTCTCTACCTTGAATTCTGTAGCTTTCCAGTAGAGATTTCATGTCATCAATAAATTTTTGATTATACTCCGGTATTTCTGTAGATTGCTGTGATGAACTTTTGTGTTCATTGATAACGAATTGTGTGATGGATATTTCTATAAAAAAGGAAAAATGTTCAACGTTAAAACCTATCGTCAATTTGTGATGCGTTAGCCCTTCGTCGAAGCGGAGGACAAAAGCTTAACGTTCAAAACGTCAGCTTCAGAAACTGTGGTGGCCAATTTACATTATCAACTCAGTTGATAAAACCAAATTATCATGTATTCCCCTCCCCCCTCCCCACCCAAGCAGCTACACAGTTTCTTTAGAAACGTAACCCTTTTATTCTCTTACCAGAGTTAAAAGTACTCTACTAACATCAAACTAAGGAGATGCAGAGGTGATGTTACTTTAATGTTAAAGAAGGTTAACTCTGAGGAAGTTTAAATTGAGTGTGAAAAGTCATCCAGGATTATAACAGTTTTCTTTACATCCACTGTATGATTGGTATAAAATACTCACCATGTTAAAAACCTAGCACACCAGTTTCTTTTATGTTATGTTATGTTTTTTTTTTTCAAGATAAAAAAGTGGGGAGGACTTGGTAATGACCTTAAGACAGTAAGTCAAGAGGAGTTTAAAGGAAATTACTCTCCTGTAACTCATCTGTAGAAAGAGCCACTCAACCTCATACCCAGACTCCCCTTTCTTCCTTCTCTATTTGCAAGATAGAGAGAGGACCTATGATTGTGGCTAAATGCAAATGAATATTTGTCATTTCTGAAGTACTCTGGCAAAACAAGTTTCTAAAAAAAATGCTGAAATTGCCTTGGCAAACTTTCCCAGGTGTGTAACTGTTAAAAAGGTTACCACAGCAAATCTATTGTTCTTAACAAAGTGGCTCTATGTCCAAAAAAGGAAAAAGCAGTACACATACTTTTTAAAAGTCTATCCCTTGCATCTCTGCTTCCTCTCAGAACAGCTCCTAACTCTCCTCTCAGTTCATTAATCAAACCTTGAAGTTTACTGTTAAAATCTTGATTATCTGTGAGGACTAATGACAAAACAAAATAGCGAAAAACACATCAATAAAACATAAGGTAACAAGTTGCAAACTCTTCTTAGCTAACAGGTGACAAAAGACCATTAAATTATTTTGTGAAAAACATTGAACTTTAAACTTTGTACAGATAAATCATGATAACAAAGAAAAGGGTCTAAAGGCACACAGTAATCCACTGAGGGCTTTGGAATGTTAATGTAACTATTGTAAAGAAATGAATTCAAGCGCTACAAATCAGTAACAGCATTCCACAATAAAGAGTCTACCCAAAAATCTTTACAATCCAATCGAACTGTTTCCTCACAGATAAAGCAGAAAAAGAAGGGAGACAGGGAGAAAAAAAAAAGATGCTGGAAAACTCTTGGAATTCTATGATGCATAGCTCCCCAAAATCAATTCCTTAGCAGATTTTTATGACTCACACAGTTTACTTAGCTGAAAAAGAGGGACTTCTTGATGTCATAAGTTTCAGTGGCATGCAAATAAATTCATTTATCTTGTACCTGATTTATCAAACCATATGCACTTGCTATCAGGAGCATTGGCAACCATTGATTTTGCATCACTTAAAAACTTCCCATTGTAAGTTACTGGGGAAAGTCTTTCATGTTCCAGTTGACAATTATCACCATTTCTGAGTCCATTTGTAAGTTTTTCTTTCATAAGGCAGTTAGGACATGTTTCTACTACAACACTGATAATACTTTTGTCAATTCCAAAGTCTCTGTGGCCCACTGTGTATTTTTCTTGTATCTGAAATATAATAAAAGTCAAATTAAAACGAAACAAGAAATATACTCTACATTAACAAATCAGTGGTTTGAATCTTAGGTTTCATCAATTCATAATTTTCTGATACATACTGTAGTTACTGATGAACTTGACAAAAAGACATATTTCATGGCTAAATATCAGATCACATAATCAACCATCATACATAGGTTCAAACCAGTAAGTATATTATAGTATATGTAAACATTTCTGGTGTAATTCAAGCAATCAAAGTTTGTTGAGTTTGACAGCAAATATACTGGAGGGGATATTGTATACATGAACTCTATGCTATGCAAAAAAAAAATTGGCAGACAGAAAGAGAAGTTAATTTTTGGGGTGTTTATAAAGAAACTGTTCCATAAGTACTTTCCGTGTATGTACCAGTATATTTCCAAATTCCATTTTTTTCACATGCTTGATCTAATCATTCATCACTAAGAGGTCTCATGAACAAGGATATGATTGACTAAGTCTGTGATTTAATTTGCAGTGTTATATTTTTGTTCATAGGGTTTCCTGTGTATTTACTGAGATATTCATTTTAGTTAAACATAACAGACTTAAAAAAACCAGACTAAGAACATTTGACCGACAACGACTATTCACTTGACTCTGAAGATGACTTCCGCTCAGGTTGTCAAAATGTCTCTCACCACTACCAACAACAGTCCTTCTCAGGACTACACTTGCCCGGACAATCAAACGACACTATTACATAACAGACTTGATGTTAAGTTCTGTGGCATGACAAATAAACCAATTTGAGGAGACAAATTTCTGACTATTTTGTCAATTCTTAAAAAAATAAGCAGCAACTTATCATTTTAGTGAAATTGGCTCGGTGAATTTTACCGTCTGTCAAATGGGAAATTTAACACTGGTTGCTGCACTGAGATTTTGGTCTCATCACTGTTTACGGGAATTTTCAGATGTAAACTGAGGTGCCATCTCTCAAGTTTCATATTAGTATCTAACTAGGTCTTAGCCACCAAAGTAACATCTAGGTCACAAGGTTAGCCCATATTACCATATCAACAGACTGTACCTGGCTCGAGTAAAGAGGCCCGCAGAGTGATTGATTTTTTTTTCTTACGGAACAAAAAAATTATACACGAACATTCATTTGTTGTAAAAATTATTTAATCTGAGATTTTTGGTCACTGTTTTCGCTCAGGCTGAGTGTTATTTTCTAAAAGAGCAACGAAAGAAAAATGAAAAAGCAAAGTGTTGGTTCAATAAAATAACAACAGAGCAAAAGACGTTAATTCTTCACACACAAAAAAAAATTAATCGCAAAATAGTCTTACATTTCAAAACAATTCAAATTCTTGCTTTTAAAACTAGTGCAAAACTAACACACAGATATTGAAAAAAACCATTAATTTGAACTTAAGCTCACAAATTAAAGTATTTAAGTTTAGTTTCTATATACAAGGAATAACAGGCTTTGCTTAAGCTTGGATAAAACTTACCATAGAAAAAGTTTTCCTTGCATCGTAATGTCCCATCGAATGAACTTTCCGCACCACTGTTTGAAACTCTTCCATTGGTATAATTATCTTTCCAGTTCTCTTATAAACGAGTACATGACAGTTTGCTTCGGCGTCAAAGCGTACATCCATGCGTTCAGCCCAGCTTTTAAACCTTTCTCGTCTTGTTATTCCACCTCTGGGTTTCGGAAAACCCGCCGCTTTTAATTCAGGTCCGCTGGGCCAACAACATTGCCACTTAGGGAGGGTGGCTGCGGAACGCGCGCAGAGACAATTCAGAAACAAGTCGTAAAGAATCTTTGGTAACGGTCCCGCGTTGTTTCTTTGTTTACCAGTGTTCTCATTTGCCCTTTCTGCAGATGTTTCATCCATTTATTTGGGGCAGCAAGAATACTATCAGTACAACTTTGCGTGTTAAAGACTACGATTCAGAAATTCCATCGTTTTATCTGCGCACGCATTACGTCATCAAGGTCAGGTGATCAAAGTTCCCGGATAACTGTACTCTAAAACAAGCCCAATCACAGAGAAGGGAAATATGTCCAAACGGTAGAGATGTTTCGCTTATTGTAAAATATTGACCAAGAACTAAATTAAATTTTTTATTAGTTCGCACCTCCACCAACCAATATCCGTATTCAAGAAAGTCCGAATTTTCAACCAATAAGAAATATTCAAAATGAGGCCTCCAAAAGGTATTTCAAAGCATGACCCAGCAGGGAATTGGAGGGGGGGAGGGGTGGGTAGAACGTAATTGAAGCTAGCACCATTTCAGTATCTCATTAACCCTTTGACCCTTAAGAGTGACTATTTTTTTTTTTTTTTTTTAAATAATATCACCCTTGTAGCAAACAGTAAGGTCACGAGAATAAATGAAAGGTTTTTTCCTCGTTGTCGGCACCTTAGGAAATGTATAAAGACCAGTGTGAAGAACATGCATACTAAACTAAAGGGTTTATCAAAATAACACAGGGAATATATATTACTATTTTTTTTCAACAAGGGTCATCATTTTCTTTTTAAGGCAGAGAATCCTTTAATTTTTCGTGCCTCCCGAAATGTGCGACCGCCATCTTGAATTTTAGAAGTGAAGAGCTGTCATCGTTCACTCAGAAATCGTGGCAGGTCTTACGAAGTGGGGGAAGGGGAGGAGGGGATCACTGATTCGAACACGATCGTCCGCGCTTCGCGTTGCTATTAATTTTTTCCTCCCCCACACCTTGGTATGGTCCGTCACACTGGTGATTGCCTTCGCCCAAATCAACACAAACAACTGTAACTGTCTGGGAGCACTATGTGGTATGTTGCGCATTGTTAGTTATAGCCTCAAGTTCACAATTAAGCGAGTGTAATATCTATTAATCTTTCAGCAACCATTCTCGTTCAATTTCACACACTTTTAATGTGCTTTTCTGTCTCTCAATAAGCTATAAGGTGTACTAGTTTGGACTCCGAACTGATTTACAAAACAGTGGCATGGCATCTTTAAAAATAGCAATGGTCAAAACCCAGAAATCGAAAATCAAGGTGACGCCAGCATAAAGAAGAACATATACATTAATACAAATAAATAAGAAATAAGAACGGAATATTAAATACTGCCTGAGTTTGAAGATTTGCAGTGCGACTTCAGTTACTAGGGTTACTTTAAAAAAATTGGGCGGTGCAACTACAGGAAACGAACGATGATTTCTACATAAATTCTTTGTCATCTTTGGTAAACCTGTCTTCAGACTCGATAGCTGTGACTTCAGTGACAACTTCTGTTTGAACTCACCAGGTCGCTGCCAATCAATAAGCTTATTGATAATTCCTCCTTCGGAGGATCACACAAAATCACCTTCTAGGTTTAAATCATTTTATAAATATTCTCCTTAATCAGAAAACACGGGTTTCACTTAGAGTAAGAACTTCTGTACGCGACAGCATGAGAAGACGAATAAATAATAATGCGATTTCATAGAAATTCATGGCAGTCATATTATGACAGTTTTGAGACACCATTCAGAAAGAATATAAACTTCATTAACTAAGATAGAGCAATTTTCAACTAATGTCGAAAGTAACCCCGGGATTACTCTGGTTCTGCTTTACTCCGCTATGTGAACTCGCACCACTTTCTTAACCAATCAGATTCAAATCTGAGACCAACGGGGATTTGGTCACACACGTTTTCCCGCGCTTCAGGCAGTTTGCTTGTTCTATACTTCGAGTTCTCATTGGTTCCTTACGATATTTTCTTTGCAACGATTGGCTGATGAGATTGCTTTATTTTGGGTTTTACGACACTCAATCGAAAAGCGCTCTATTAGCTTCTATCATCTATTGTATTTTTCACCTCCTTTGAAATCCTTTTACTGACTTTCTAAATTTCAAACAAGATAAGATCCATCGACGGATCGCCGTTTTTTGCTAGTTCACTTTTCGGCTCGTTGACCTATTACAAGCTAGAAAAGCTTGTAACGATAATGTCATAATAAAGGTCAAAACAACAAGTAAAAAACTTGCAACACGTGGTCTCGAGAACCCAAACTATAAACTTAGGTAGCAGAAGAGTTAAATCTGACTGTATTTTCGGTTACAAAAACCGTACATTTGCAGCGTGACTCGTTTGACCAGTGATATACGAGATCTCATTGGGTGTCTATTAACAAAGTCAAATCTGACTCCTCTGCTAACTGTGCATAATATTCAACGTTGCGGAACTTAATACTTAAGTACGACACTCACTTTGACTAACAACCGGTAATTTTAGCAACTGCTCTAACAGATACAGTACAAGACTTAAATTTACACTACCATCGTCGTGGAACTACTGTGATAAAAAGTTAGAGAGTGTGGCTGGATAAGGAAACAGGCATACTTGCATCTCTACACGTAATAACGTGAAGTTTCAGTTTCTCCTTTTGGAACCTTCCATATTTACTGGTGAATGGAGATATCTAAATGTTGATAGAGAGCAAGCAGTTCGCGATTCTCTTGATCCAACTGCATCCTTAAGACTGTTTTATCTGAATGTTTCTTTGAATTCCACATGCGTGCTCGTAGACGTAAATAAAATCCAGCAAAGATTTCCATCCAAGTTGTTCGTCTTTTCCACTTGCTTTGGTGCTGGGCACAAATTGGGCACAAATAAATTTCACTGAGTTCATTTTTATTCCCTATGATGTGATTGGCACAGTAAGTGATGAAGAGCTATAGGCACTAATCTGTAGTTCCTTGGGTGCAGCTTCTCCAGCTTCTTCTCACAATGAATGGTCTCATGAACGTTGTGCGTGATCATGGTGGTTTTCTAATGTCTGTTAGGGTGAACCACCGAGCCACAGACGTCTGAAGCTCAGCTTGTGACAGGTCGATGATCAGTCCACCGAGGAATTCGTTCTCGCCTACATTTTCATGGTCCAGTACAGTGACCTGCAGATGTCGCTGTCTGACTTCATGCTCCGGTATACTGTACAGTAATGTTTCGTTAAATGTTGGATTGAGTGTTTTCCGTGCAATCTTAGTCTTGAGTTTTGTAGCCTTAATAGGATCTGGAAGGAGGTATAGTTTGACGTAAGGATCTGCCAGATATGTTGTATTTCTTGCAGATAAATCTTTCGCGTGCATAACCATGACGCGAAGGGCATCGCACTCGTGCCGAATCTGCAACTTCACTTGTCCACCAATGACTCTTTGGCGGTTTCGTTTTTCCTCCGGAAGCAAGGGAGCCGAGAACAAGCGTGCATCTTTCTTGTCTTGCTGAAGAGAATGAAGGAATGTGTACAGGAGTTCCGATTCTGAAATTTCAGGAGGCAGCATCAGTAAATGGCGGATGTAATCGTCAAGGTCACTTCGTCTCCGCTCGGCAACAACACGGATCTGCGAACGACCGATATATTTTTTGCTAGGGAGTTTGGGCAGACTGGTTTCCGGAAAAGCCTCGGCGAGCTTTGAATGTAGCTCGTAAAAGTGGCTGAACCTGCGAAAAACAAACGCCGGTTCTTGATCGCCAAGTCGGCAAATGTTTACAACGTAAACGTAATATTTCTCAGGATTGTAGCGCTTGTGGATGTCCACAACACGAGCAGATTCTACCAACCCGTCTGAGTCGACAGAATATGTTCCGTGAACGAATGAAAGAACAGAGCTTGCGCTGGCGTTACTACCTGTCGAGATTCGTATTTGACTAACGTCTCTGATCTGAGCGACATTATGAATGAAGAAATTGACTTGAGTGAACCATGATGACAGACTAGCCTCGATTAGTCTTGTGAACGCCGCCGTAGCTTCTCCTTCTGAGGAATCTGGAAGCAAGGAATCTCTAATGTACTTCAAATCCGCCACCTGACTCAAGCAGGATATTCCAGAATTCAGCATCAAGGACAACAAATTAAGCAGCAAGTTGGAATGGCGCCGAATGACGTTAAACGCCTTGCAGCAAAGGTCTACAAAGTCTTGAAAACGACTACTCGGCTGGTAGCCTCCGTTTATGACGAAAGCCATGTCTGAAGTCAAGACGAAGGGAGCCCGATCGCGTCGAAATGTACCGAACATCTGAGCGTTTCCAAGGATCTTGGCGAAATCAATATGAAACATGTGACCACTTTTCTTGATCATGATATTGTCGTTATGACGATCGCCGATACCGAGGACATAAGTGGCAACGCAGTAGCCTGCACATGAAGCTGTAAAATTCTCCACAGCTTGTTGGTAGCTTTCATCGCCAGTGTTGTACTTTTGGATCCATCTTGCAATTGGCTCATCCTTGAAAGAACCTGTCAGACCAAGCTCGGTATGGATTTCTCGAAGCGTGACCGACTCTTTCACAATTTCCACCATCCCCATTCCAACCCCAGTTGCCACACATTTGTAGGTAATCATTTTCAAATCGATTCCTTCTCGTAACCAGATCTTGTTCATGATTCCCACAAGCTGCAGGATAAGCCGGTCTTGTCTCATATCGTCCCCAATTTTGAACATTGCGTGGACATCCTCGCCAAACGGGTCAACGCTCTTGAAAACGAGTCGCAATGGCGCAGAATGCGATGTAAAGTATCCACAGGCTGGAACGTTAACACCTTTCACCTCACAACTTGGGCCTATTGGAAGCCTAAAGGTTGGACCAAAGTTAGCAGCCACCACTGCTAGTTCTTGGTGAAGGACATTCATTCGTGATGATTCTCTTGAGGTTTTGACTTTCCGGGCCACTTCTGCAAGGTCAGCGACAACTTCGTCTTGCATCGTAAACTCGCACCTTTGGGCATTTCCACAGATATTCAACAGACCACCGAGAATAATTTGGAATCGCTGACCGAACTGTGGATCACCGATAGTGTCCTTCAGGTACCAGAAGAGATAATGCATGACTCTGACACTGGCAAGAGCCCGGCGGATAAGAAAGCGAACTAAAGAGGAGTCGTGATAGATTTCATACTTTACGGCCTGGACGAGCTGAGGAAGGTAATCGCACAATTCATCATCAACAACTGCTTCCATCCACTGAACCGCCGTATCTCTCACACGGGTGTCAGGAAAATTGACCTTCAGCAGCTCCAAAGCATCCACTGGTTTTAAAGGGGCCCAAGATGCCAGAAGATTGTAGATTTCTGGAAGGAAACCGTACTCCCAAGATGGCGCTGCAGACAAGATGAGAGGTAGCGCTTTTGGCACTGACATGCAGTAATGGCGATGTTCCCAAAGAAGTTCGCTCTCCTCTGGCTTCAGCTCATTGAAGAGATCTTTCTCCAAAATATTCTTGTATACTTCAGCGGTTTTGGGCTGGGGCTCACAGCGATCCGTTTCATCGTAAGGTAGCCAGCCATTGCTTTCGAAATCTGGAAAGACAATATCAGCCAAATAGCGTTCGAATTCGACTTGCAGAATGACACTGGATGGATGCAGCAGGTTTGATGTACAAGTGCCAACTGGGTTAGCTGCGTCATCCGGCCATAAACCAAGGAGATGCGTTCCCGACACCAAAACGCCCTTAAAATCGAAGAGTGGTAGTGCAACCCACCCAAGTGGAGTTCTGCTGGTATTCAAGGTGTTTCCTTTGCCAATCGGTTGAACGCCATAAAGTGTGAAACACAGACGAGACTCACGTGAGAGTTGACGAACTTGCATCTTGAATTGCAGCCATTCATTCCACATCAGCTGGTCGAAGAAATTTCGGGTTATCTTAATTTGCTTCGTCACTTCGACTGGGCACGTCAGGCGCCCCCCATAGTAAATTCCACTTCGAACTTCAAAGCTTTCGAAGTCTTTGCTCCATTGCACAGGCAGTCTATGGGCGAATGCCACTTGGATACGGACGTTGTCTGTCATGGCTGTAACCTCTATAGATCCGGACAGTTTGGGTCTCTCTATCCGAGTGGGAACAAACTCGGTATCAAACGCATCACAGTACATCTCGATAAGGAGCAAAACAGCTGATTGCAACTTTGAGAGAGCATCATTCAGATCGAACTGGTTAGGAACCATTCTATCAGAAACCTCAGCAGCCTTTTGTAGATTTTGTAAATTTCGGATGGAATCGATCACCTCTTTCGTTTCCAAGGTTGCCAGGGTGGCACAGATGGCTTTCACGGCTTGGATTGTACGGTTTGGCTCAAACCGTGGCTTGGTGTAACTAGTACTTTCTTCCAAGAGTTTGACCAGTTCTTGATTAAATGCCTCTAACAGCACAGTCAGTCCATATCTCGATACAGCGGTGGTCACAGGGCAGTCAAAAAACTCTTTGTAGTTGTGGGAAACGATGCCATCCAAGTCGTCTTCTTCAGTCCGTGCCAGCTGCCTGGAAACTTGCCAACTCTCGACTAGGACAAGTTCAACTTCACGTTTAAACTTGATGCATTCCTGCACATAGGCATACTGGATAAGGATTCCGTTTGATACCAGATACTCAGAACGTCCGCAGACTTTAAGCACATACACTGTGGCTGAGCTGTACTCTAGAAATTTAACATCATCTGACAAGCAACTCAGGGCGAGCTCGATTATTTTGCAGACACGGCTATGTACAGTAAAGGTGAACTTAAGGGTGTCCTGTCGTTGATCGGTGTAGATGGCAATAAATGCGTCGGTGTTGTTCGGAAATGCTTCGTGATCATAGGGTATCGTGGGACTTAAAACATGACCGGCGTTCGTTTCTTCATCCCAGCGAAAGTTTGACCTGACAGAGGTCATCATTGCACTAAAAGCAGTAGCCTCTTCATTCCTCTCTTTGGCGACATCGAACAAACCATCTCCAAAAAAAGGGAACTTTGAATCACAATCAGAACTGTTCCTTGACATCGATGGACCCGGTGACGTTTTGTCCGACATTGAAGCTGAGACTGGGCGATTGGAAAGCTTAAAAGGGGGTGACCGACTGGAGGAAACGGACTTTAATCGAACACGTGACTCTTTTGAAGATTGTTGAAGCATACCAACCTCGTCTTCCTCGGAGAGGTTCACTGTCAAAGGTCTTGTATTTCTGGGATATGTTTTAGAGCTGTGTGCATTGTGAGTTGTCTGCGATGGAAAGAAAACAGTGTCTTTTGCCAACTTTCCTTCTGACAAAGTTTTTCTCTGGACTGGCTTTCTGAATGATTCTCCTGGAAGCTTTTCTCGCTTTAAAGTGATAGAACCGTAGGGGTGTTCTTTGCTAGAATTTGATGAGGTATTGCTGCTGAAAGATTGGTCTGCAATTGCTATTCCAACATCTGAATCATGACCTTTCAAAGTCACATTAAGTCTAGAGGAGTAGGACTGTACACCTACAGCATTTTCAACCTCTGTTTTGCCACTAGGATCCGATGGGTGTCTAGAGTCCATTACTTCTGATGGGGGCCTAAATAACGTGTGATAATTGGGAAATCCACCGTGAGGAAATTCCGCGACTTTGCTTGGTTTTTCCACTGGGTTCCTGGGCGGCGAGAGGTCATCGCAAGAACGGGACGCCCGTAATCTGTTCGCCTCTTCAGGTAAACTGTGACGACCTGTCGCACTCGCAGTGGTAGTCGTAAAATTGAAACAATTTGAGTGTTCTTCTCTAATATGACTTGAATGTGTCAATCTTGCTCCTGGTTTAGTCGACTGCAACGTTCGGTTCGAATTGTCATTTCCATTTCGAAGATTGCTTGTTTCTTTGCCGTTTGACAAACAGAAATTCGGTGGCAGCGAGCGAACTGTGTCAGCGCCGGATGAACTTACACCCATCCCTTCGAATTCAGAAGACAAGACAGTCAACCAAGAAACATCGGACCTTGGGGCAACATTGTCTTCTTCATCGGAGGAGAAGGACATGAGATCGTCCAAATTTCCTCTCTGTTTTTCCATGGTAAACGATAAACCACACAAACCAGGAAGATTTAAAATGCAAATCAGGCCAATCAGTTTCAATTTCACTACAATCAAGAAATATGTCACTCGCGTGATTCGTTATGATTCAAAATCAAAATATTCGGACTTGCCCTTCCAGGTTCTCAAAAACACGCTGAAACCATCGCAACCATTATTACGTCGAAGGATCTCCTCAGAACCATGAATAACAAACTGTGTGTGACGACAAACACTTCAGCTTATTTCAAAATCGTGACTTCAAGTTCTTCCTGTTCGGGTTCGTTTTTAGCGGAATTTTCGATCCCAGCATAAAATCATTCGATTTAGATTTATCAGCAAAGTACCAAGGCTTCTCTCTCTCTTGCAAAATTTCCTGGGTTGTCACAGAATCTTTACAAACGGCCGAGACAACCGTACTCTCCTCGAAACTTCATCGGTCATTGAAAAATAGACAATTTATAAACAACCAAATTCACGCATCACTACATCGCGCATGCGTAATTTAGATACTACCGCTGACATAGGAGGCTCAAACATGGCGGTAAACTTCCTCAGCAAGACTGTTTACACCCCCAAGGAACTGGACCTTTATTTTGGTTCTTAATGGCCACATTTGGTTGGAGTTACAAGTCAAATGCAAGTGGAAGCAAACGTCCCAGTGAACAATCGAGAAAAGTTGAGAGCTGGCAGGAGAAACGCGCCGATGACACGCCGAAACCCCTACACCCCCAGTCGCATTCTGCTGAAACTTTAACAGCAGGAACCCAACCCGCGAGGAAAAAATGTAAGTCGTTAAAAACAGATTATTTGAGTCAAGTTAAAATCCTGGCAACTTATTTTTAGGTAAACATTTGGGAAACTTAAAGTAGCATGTAACTGTACATTACACAAGCTTATTTAAAATGTACTTTCAGTTCAAGATCTTGTAGGGGAGCAACTGCATGTGTATATATATATATATATATATATATATATATATATACTTTTTGTTTTTAATGTATGGCTTCTATTTTAAGCGAAGTGGAGTAGAGTGCTGTAGAAAATGAAATGTGAAGTCAAACGAAACAACGAAACGCAAAATGTTATATTAATCACATTTATATTTGTAGTTTTGTAGGAGGCATATGATTGCCCACCTAAGAAAGAAACTTTAACCACTCTAAACTGTCAGTTCTTTGATATTATTAGCCGTACTGAAGTGATGTTTTCAAGATGTACCCTTTTGATGTGGTTTGGCTCTTTCCTTCTTTGACAATACTTTTCCTTCAGTTAAATTTTCAATTTCAGGGATTATTTTATGTGATCAAGGTCTTTTGTCTCCATGATATATATCTTAGTTGATTGGTTTTTTTGGGAGGATATGGGTGGATAATTTGGGAATTGTATATATGTATGCAATCAAATAAGGGATTTTAACCTTTCCATGAGAGAAACGGTCCTTCGTTCAGCTTCTCTCTCCTGATGGAAGTGCTAAATTACACCCTCATCATTTAGTGTCAGTATATGGTACTTTTAAACAAAGTAGATTTTGGGAGATTGAGCCTCCATGAAAATGTCGTTGATTTGATTGGATCAAGTATAAAGATAAAAGATACATGATTACTGTGCCAAACCTTAGCTTCCAAGTAATTTATTTATCCTTTCTGGTTTTTATATCTCTGTCTTCTATCTTTCCCATTCATATATGTTTTGTTGTTAACCCTTTAACTCCCATGAGTGACCAAGACAGAATTTCTCCTTACAATATCAATACAATATCAACCAGATAAGTGATGAGAGTAAAGAAAAATATCACTTTAGGGATAATTAGTTGATCCAATAGTAAATTCTCTGAACTAACATTAAAAGAATTATATGGTTGACAGTAAGGAGAATGACAAATTTGATCTGAGAGTTAAAGGGTTATTAACACATCCAACTAAGACCCGTCAGTGCATTACAAACAGCCTTTTTTAAACATTTGTGTGAATTTCTTTGGTAAAGTGATTCCGAATGGTGAAGAAATAAAAAGCTACAAATCATCCACCATTCTTGGCAATAGACTGTATTTTCTCATTTCTTTTTATCTCTAAAGATGACCCAAGAGCCAAGATATTTGTTGGTAACTTAGACTGGGAAACTAAAGAAGGTATTGAAGTACTGAAAAAATTAATTATTTGGTAGTTTTTATACACTGAAAAGTCAGTAGCAACTAGAAAAGTGGGAGCTTTTTATTATCACTTTGTCCGGCATTGTGACCCATTTTGCGGACTAACAAGGAGATTTTGGCAAGCTAAATGGTTTTAAACTGTCTCACACACTTGTGTGCTTATTCAGACTGTTTTGTTGTTATTGCATTGATTTAAACTAAGGTATTGGATGTTCATTCCATGATTGAAGGGCCATATACAGAATAAGGCCCCAAGTAATTTTTATGCAACATGTATATTTCTCCCTCTGTTTTATGAGAGAATATATTACAGACAATTTTAAAGAAGAAACAAGGAGTTTCAGAGGGCTTTCCTCTTGGCCACCATTTGAATTATGCTGGCCATAATTATTAGTAAGCTATACATGTAAGGTATTGCCTACAGAAATTTCCTTAGATATGCTCTCATTTTGTCGTGGTATATCATGCAATTGTATAACCTATGTGTAGCCATACCTACCCCCCCCCTTCCAAGGGGAAACAGAAGGGAGGAAATATCTATGAAAACATGACACAAATCATGTTATATGACATCACTCTTTTGTGTGGCGATTCTAATGATTTTTTATTGGTCAACCATTTTGTTGATTCTTTAATGAATTGTGATTGGCTAGAGATGATTGTTTTCTTTCATACTAACAAACAAGATGGTGAGCAGAGTACCTTCATGGTCAACTATGCAAATAACCGCAACTTATAACAAGGTTTTAAGGCAAGTCTGCATGACTTCGGGATAGAGAAATTTCAAGAAGAACAGTAGAATGCTATAGATGCCAGTATGTTTTTCAAAGGTAACAATGTCTCCGTTTGGTGCCCAACTGGCTATGGAAACTTTTTAATTTATCAAGCCGTGCCAGTGATCAAGTGCCTTTCTTTTCTAGAGAAAAATGTTCACTATATATTTATTGTGGCACCTGTGAAAGCTCTCATAGAAGACCAGGTTGACTATCTCAATGCATTTGGGCCAAGGTGATTGTCTTCCTTCAACTCTCAGTCTCTTTGAGAGTGGTGCTGCAAAGCTAATTAAGCTATTTATTTCTAGCAGCAATCATTTAGACTGAAAAATGAGTTGCTCTTTCTTCACACTTGCAGCATAACTATCTCTTAAAGAAATCTGTAAAACCATGAGATTCTGTGACAAATGATCCAATTTTTCTTAGACAACTGTGGCACTATCTACAAATGTAAGAAGAGACTGTGTGGATGTTGAAATCTACTTTTGTTAGTGTGATGTTAATCAAACATCACCCTCTTCTTATTGACTCTATACCAAGAATTGCTTATAATCTTTGTACATATTCTTTAAGCAAATTATATACAAATAAATAAATCATGGAAAGTGAATTCACTTCAACTTTGTTGATCACCTTGATTACTTTTCACTCTAGCATGTGCCACTTTGCAAAAATATTATCAAGTTACTTAATTTTGCATAGATTAGAGTGGCATGATATAACACAATTTGTGTCAGGTTTTCCTAGATGTTCACTTCCTTCTGTTTCTCCTTGAGGGGAAGGGTACAGCTACCTATAGGCTAGACATTGTGATTTCCAGTAATGTTTGAGTTGTATGTCAGCTAACATATCACACATAATTATCATAAGCCAGGGCAGCAGTGGAAAGCATTATAATATAATGGAAATAAGGATTTTGACTTCAATGTTTGATATTCTGAATATTTTTTTTGCAGTAACCATTGCTGAAATATTTTCTACCTTTGGAGAAATAGAGGCAGTTAAGGTATAATATATTTACTAGCTTAGCTAAGGGGTAAAGGGACACTCAAGAGATTGATCAGTCATGTCAAATATAAGAAACCTATCAGTTTATTATGGAGATTATTTTTGGGCAAAGAAATAAGACCTTATTATTAATGAAAACAAGGATTATTTGAAAAGTAGAGGGCGTCTTTTGCTTTAATTTTTACCTTTATCTTTAACTCCCAAGATCTCTCTCACTATAATTAATTTCTTCTTCTTCTTGTTGTTATTTTGCTTTCCTTGACTGTAAGGATAAATTATTTAATGGTCTCTCTTAGTGATGAAAGGGTTTGCCCTAATTTTCCTTCCTGAAGAGACTTGTAACCAAATGGTCACTGCCATTTTAATACACTTTCAAGAACACATTTGATGATAACTAAAAAGTTAGTGAAGTGATGGTTATAGCATTTCCCAGAGTAACACCATATTGTCAGGGTATCAATTGGGCATTACAGATCAGACAATGCTCCGGCTATAGAACAAAGAATTTTTGGGCTAAATTTTGATGGCCTGATCAAGGTTTTGTTTAAATGTGTAGCTGTTTTGTGGTTTATTATTCTGTCACTATACACATAATTTTCCAGCTATAAAATTTCATAATGAAAGCTTTGAATTGTCAGAGTGATCACAGTAGGAAATGTGTTGTAATCAGTTAGAAGAATGGACTCTTGGGAGTGAGAGGGTTGTGTAACACTCAGGGTGCAATTAATGGGAATTTGCTTTGAATGTTCTCAACCCTTATCAGGTATAAGGTGTAAAATACCAATCAAATTTTTCATATTTATTTTGATATTTGCTAAATTAAATGTTAGTTTGTTATTTTTTTTAATCTCTCTGTTTCTGAACCATTTGATATTTGTTTCTGAGTGGAAGTTGATGATAACACACTAGCTCTGGATATTTGATAATTAAATTACTGACCAAATTATCAAGTTCATGATTGTGTTTTAATCCCTATGTAATACATTTACTTACTTGTAGCTCATCAAGGATCATGAAACTGGCATTTCAAGAGGGTTTGCCTTCATTACATTCTGTGAAGTGGACTCTGGTAATTATTTTTTATTACTACAAATTGTATTTTGTTGTTTGAATTGATTTTCATTTGCATGTAAGATGATGACTTCCATCCAATTTGATTGGTACTTTCCTATGGTTTATGACTATCAACTTATAAAGAGCCCAAAACTAAGGAGAAGCAATGTGAAAAAAAAAACTTCAAATATTCTTCCTTAGAAAACACTTTGAAAAACAGTGATATCTATCTAGAACATGGTAGTGTAAAACCTCTGTGCAAAACTGTGTTCATCAGCAACATTTATATGAAGTAATATGTTGTCATTTGTCATAATTTTTTTGAGGTATGAATCAAAATGTAGGTGTACTTCTTTCAGAAAATATAAATTAAACTGTCTTTTGACCTGCGCTAGCCCTATCAATAGCAATTTCCAGCTGTACCTAGGGCAACTGGGTTTTAGTGACTGTGTATGATATTAGAGTGGCGCTTTATTAGACTATAACTGATGTGAAATTCTGAATATGTATGCAATATATACATTTACAAGACATAGAGGGGCTCATTGTTAATAACACCCTGGAATTAAAGTCCCTGGCAGTCACGTCTTGTAGCAAGTGTTGTTGTGAGCATCTGTCTAAGTTTTTTTTTTGTGCTTTCATTCTCTTTTTACAGCTGTGAAATGTAAAACATGGTGTGCTTATAACCATTTGGTAGGTTCATACTCATGTTTCTATTTACTAAGGAAATTGGCATTTTGAAGATAAGTGAGGAAAATTTTGTTGACACATCAATGACCATTGTTGTTATTTAATCATTTTGATAACATCAATGCTCAGAAGAATCATGTTAGGTCACTTTTATCTTTTGTGATAAAGTTATAGTTATGTAATTATTGCTAGCTATTTGGTAACAGCAAAAATTTTAAAGCAAGCAAACTCATTCTTTTTCCTTTTTCTAATTAGTACTCTTTTGTGGCACCATCTCCCAAAATTATGTGATTTTCACTGATGAACGTATCAGTTATGATGATAGGTGGAAAGTACAGTTGTAAGGTATAATTATGCTAATGACAATAAGTTGCATTCATGTGGTCAGGGAAAGCTTGTTATTATCAAGAAAAATGGGATGACTGTGAAACCTGATGTCTGTAGTAACCATGTTTTGTAAACTTGCATGTGTCCAAATAGATCTGTACAACTACACACATTGAATGCAATAAGTATAACAAAGTAAATCAATACATTTTCATCACCAGAAAATTGATGATAGAAATGTGACTGTGAGGGCTGCTGAGCGTCGACAGGTGAGTTCACATCATTTATTTTTATGTTACACCATAATTTGGCATCACTGTCATTGATATTTAAGAATTTGTTCATGCGTAGCATGCATATATTGAGTTAAGGATGCATGCGGGAAGTCTGGAGTGCACAAGAAATGCATGAGAGTAGCTTGAGGTGCAGCCGAGAGCAACTCTAGCTTTTGGAGTGCTCTTCAAACTTCCCAAGTGCATCCATAACTTGATATATGCACAGCTAAAAGCATGAGCAAATTCTTTTATAACAGAGCGACAACAAGGATCTGCGCTAAGAAGTCTTTTATTGTGATAGTGTTTTGGTTTTGGTGAATTCCCAATTAACAACTGTGTACTTTATTCCCCAGATTGAACAAATTTTAAAACAACAATTAAAACGGAAATTTTTACCTTTAAATGTTGTTAATGACCAATTGGTGACTTTTTTGTTCCCAGTGAATGTCTTTCAGCCAAAATTTGCTGCAGCTGGTCTTCCACCAAATTTGTGAAACATGCAACTTGCGAGTTTTTTGGGCTTTATTTTTGTTGCTTGTTGTATCAGGACCTAAAGGGTCAATGCCGATAGAAAAATTGGGTAGTTCTTTGCTGGTTTCTTCCATATTTCAAAGAGAAAGAGAACTGCACTGCAGCTTAACAGGATGGAAACTCTGAAGCCGGGTAAAAAAAATGCTCACATCATCTCATTTATGCACGGGCGTGCAAGATTTTGTTCAGCTCAATAGGACTTATATAGGGCAAGCACGGATGCACGAAAAGCCCATTAATAAAATACACTCTGAACTAGTGCTATCCATAAATCTTGAACTAAAGCATCCAATCATGAAAAAAAATGTTAGATCTAACACAAGAAGCCACATAAGTGTAAGTGATTGCCATCATGAGGAAACTTGGGAGAAATTTTCTTGCAAATTGATTTTGCTTGAAAAATCAATACTAATTTGATTGCTTTAAAGTGTAGTTTTTACCAAGTTATAAGTTTGTAGGTTTGCAAGTCAATCATTAAGTATTGATAAACTTATCCCAATTTTCCTGATGTAATGTAAGGTTAAAAATGGTATCCTATGCTGTTGTAGTATTAAATCTATCACCAGCAAAGGGAGAAAAACATATTCCCTTTACTAAATGAACTTTTTTCCCTCTTCACTTTACCTGTAGACTAATTATGCAGCAATTGAAAAGAGGAAATGTGCAGAGGATAATAACCCCACATTATACTGGGAGTACAAATGGGCTGAGGACCCCAAATCAGAGGTAGAAATTTATTTAGATATAGGCAGCTCACACTGCAAAAGGTTTTTCTCCACAGTTAACAAATCCTAGTCATTCCATCAGTGCTACCAATGCACCTGTTGACAACAACAAAAACCTTTTTTTTTTCTTTCCTTACTCATTTTCATGCTTTCATTGTTGCAATTGGCCTGGTCCACAGATACTATACATAGGAGCTGGGTTTTATGGCCAGCTACAGTGATTATTACTGTTAAACAATGAACTTGTGTAGTCAAAAGGGTGCCTATAGGTATGCATGTTTAATGTCTTATCTGATAGCAGAAGTGGACTTTAAAATGTCCTTTTTGTGTTTCCAGAATTGCTACACAAATTGTGTCTCTATTCCTCAGGTTTATGGTCCCTATGAGACAAGTTTGATGTTACAGTGGTCTAAAGCTGTAAGTATTTGGATATGTTCTGAAAAATAATTTGGAAAGCAAAAGAATATCCAATCACTTTTAATCAGCTGTGGATGGAGGAAGCTCAGGGAACACTTGATTATCCTATTTGACTTTGTCCTGGAAAAATGGCAGTTTAATGTACTACATGATGGGCAAAAGTAGAGGTTCAATATTTTTTTTCGTTTTCAATGGATTTATTCGTGAAAATTGTGCTTCCTTTTTAATGCTTTCACTTCTAAGATATCACTGGTAATTCTCCTTACTGTCTCCCATACAATTCCTATTAATGTCAGTTCAGAGAATTTGGTATTGGAAAGACTAATAATCTCCTAATTGATATTTTTATTTATTCTTATTACTTGTCTGCTTGAAGTTGTATTGAAATTGTAAGGAGAAATTCTCTGTTGATCACTCATAGGAGGGAATTTTTAAGTTAATTTCTTCCCTGTATGTTTTCTCATTTTAGGGATATTTTGACGCAGGTTGTTGGGTGCGAGAACACGTGACCAAACAAAGTGACGAGAACTCATCTGAACCTTCATGTAAGACAGCGAGACTAGTGGATCAAAGTTATTCCGATTCGAGTGATTCTGAGGATGATACACCATCTGTGGGGCAACCTGAGGAAAATGAATTTCTTCATGTGTCTGAGATAGATTTCTCTATATTTCCATGAGTAAGTGCAACGCCTGGAACATCAGACAGTTTGAGTGTTAACGGAGTATGTGTCACATCGGCATCGGTGAGATCATTGGTAGTATTGGAAGGATAGCTAAATGAAAGAGGAAATTCATTTTATATTCAAACTTTGAGTGGCCAGATAGTCCTGCTCGCCGTCTTTTGTTTATTTCGTCACGCAATGCATTCTAATCCGGACTAGCGGCGAGAGACTGTCACAACAGTATGTCTCGTCGTCTGTTTTAGTACGTTGAAACCTTAAGCAAGACAGGTCACTCATATTGATATCTACCTTTGAACAAATGAAGGACGAATAGCATAAAACATTACATTATTACTTCACCGTGTTCAAAATATGTTTTTCTCGAAGTTTGGCCCACAGACGTCTGTTTGTTTACATCGAGCACTAGTAAGGTTTATTCAAGTGAGCTGTGGTTGAAGTTTTTGACACGTCAGCTACTTTTGAAGACTATTCTCTAAATTTTTAGACCCCTCGTTATACCATTCGAAAGAAATGGTTTCATGTTTAGTTCTTGTAAGCTAGTCAAACTTGTTGATGGTTAAATTTAAATTTTAGTTACGCGAACAAATCAAGAACCTGATCTATCAGACCTAAAATTACTGCGTCATTGAACATTACACTTTGTCAAACTAATTGACTGTGTCAAAGTGTCATTTAAATTCTAAAATCTGTTTTATCTTCCTTTAACGGCTGGCGGTGAATCTAAATGGACTAAAATGAATGAAGAACCTCGTATCACAATTTCGGCTGGCTGTCTTATATGTGAAAAACGTCAAAATTCCCCCGATCACAAAGCATCCCAAACCATCTCAAGGATTATAGGTTAATACAAAAGGAAATGATGTTCCATTGTTTTCTCTTGCTTAAAAATGGAACATTTGGTTATTTACCCGAGGTCTAAACAGAACCACGGTTTTACGCATTCAGTGGGCCTTAGGCTTTCTCCATAAAATGGTTGATTTACTTAAATAAATTTCCTTCTACTTTAAGGTTTTTTGGCCCTCGTGACGCTCTTCACAAAAATAAGCGTTCAGATAAAAGGTTGAGCTAAATTGAGGATTGTTTAGCACGGGGTTTCGTTTAGCAACGGCAAAACTTTGTTAACCGGCCCTTCAAGCATTTTACAGAGGCAGTACGATTCATGGTAAAGCCAACCAAAAAAGAATAATTATACGAAACGCCGAACTGACCGCAATCAGATGTTGACGTTATTTTCATTAACTTGTCGCCCATTTCTATTTGCTTTTCTGTCTAGGCTTGAATAATACGTGTAAAATGAGCAACAAAGATAAGCGGTACTATTTCTGTTCACCGAGAATCTGTTCAACCACAGTTTGCACTTCTGGGTAAGGCCTTCTAAATCAAATTCGTTTCTGTCGGCCCGGAAAAACTAACTGTCGTAGATACCACGGGCATGTTTCTTTTGAACAGAGGTCATTTGAAAATAAACGGAGCATGGTACGGTTTGTAATCAATGATTTTGAATGAATGAGGAAAGTAGTGATCTGATCGGTTGACAAGGAAGCGATTCTTTTTTTTAAACCAACCGTAGAAATTAGTGAAGCAAACCAGTGCGAACAATAAAAACTGAACTGAAAATTCAGTAACTATGAATTTTGACCTGCTGAAACGACCGATCACATAAAATCCGGCCTCATCGCCTCTGATAATGTTTTCAAGAAAAATGAACCAAAAACATTTAAAGTCTTCGCTATTGATAGGATTCGTGGTAATTCATGAAGACAAGGAACTGGACGGTCACATAAACGTAGCACATGCACTACAAATAATCAGGTAGAAAAATCACGAAGATTGCCAAACTCTAGAATTATTTCTTTCGCGCTTTTAGCCTATAAATATCTAAACGCCAGGCAAGAGCTAAGAGCTCTTCCTCGCATTGCGTTGTACATTGGCGGGTTTCAATTTCTCCTGTCCGACTCAGTTAAAGCAGCTCGACATGAACTGAAGGCAAGTTCGTACACACGAACTCTGACGAAGGGCTAACGCTCGAAACGTTAGTTTTTTTACCCTTTACGGTGGCTAATTTACGTTTTCAACTCAGTTGTTAACACCAAATTACCTGCTTAGTTTAGGGTACACGTGCTCGTTTACATAGTTAACTGTCTCATAAATAACGCAGTTAGTTCACAAGAATACCGGGCTGAATATGAAGAATACAAATCAGTAAAAGACAAACCAAGACTATGTCTAACCTGTTTTATGACCATTATTTTCTGTCTATTTAATTTCCTGCGATTGAATCTTGGAGCAGGAATAATGCGAATGAAACATTTTCAGTGATTTATGCAAAAATGGTTCTGGGCTTTTAGCTTAACAACGAATGTGTGCATTGTGTCTCGAGACTTTCCAGTGATTATTCCTATCAATACTTCATTCGAACGAAACTTGTCGCTGTGAAATTTACATAGGCTGAAACAACTTTTAAGCGACTGTACGGGAAAATGAAATTTTGTTTCAGCACTTTTGTACGCTAAATTTAATAACTTTGTTGAATGTTTTATAAGATTTGATACGAGTCATATCCTAAACATCAATCATATGCGTAATTGTGCGTTCCAAATTTGTCAATTAACCCACTTTGATTATAGAAGTAAAATACGTATGGGAAGCATAGCCAGAGGCATCTGTTACTGGATTTTTAAAGTATGTGAAACAACACAGTCTTGATTTTCTTAATAAGTACACTTTGTTGAATCCAAATCAGCCACAAATTGCAGTGTGCGACGGAAAACGACGACTGGTTGTTTACTGATACTGGAAAATTCTCGTCCACGAAAACAAATATTCATACACACGGCTTTCAATGAAATCAGAGACAGTCATCAATATATTCAGCTTGGCGAAAATTTCTGTAATCAAAAGCTAATTCGACCTCGTTACGTGGACGGAAAATTTATTTCTTCCACGGAAATGAAGCCTGGTACAACGCATTTTTCTACTCGTGTGGGCCTCTGGGTTGTGGTGGTGTGCGTGATTTCCGCTACATTTCTGATTTCCAACTATCTGGTTGTTAATGAGCGTATTGCCGCTATGGAAGGAAAACTAGAAAGTCTACAGAGAGGTGAGAATTTAAACCAAGATGTTTCTTCTGACGAACAAACAGGTGGCAAAGACGAGCATCATGTCAGAAGAAAAAGAGCGTTGAAACAAAGAACTCAAGCGAGCGCTATCGCAGATTTTGAAAAACGACTTCGAGCTTTGGAGAAAAGGTATCTCTACCTAATACTTTGTTTTGTCTACTGAAAAACCACCTTGCCATTGTGTCACTAGTTTAATGAAAATTTATTGCCCTTTATCTATGTATAAAATTTGCCTTTCGGTCAATAAATAAGTAATCTCTCAGAGCATTACACGATGCATCAATCGGGAGAGCTTTTCCTTCAGATTAGCTAAACACTTCATTTTCTCGCAAATTTAACATTACTCTCAAGTTTTCTTTGATTAAGACAAGAATATCAGGGAAAGGAGAATTTAATTATCAACTGAAAATTGAGTGTATTGCGCGTTATGCGCACCACATACAACTTTTTCTTCAAATCTAATTTTGAGAGAATCCCACAATTATCAATCTGTTTCTTCATTTGCAAATAACATTACTTCCTATATTTTTTTTTAGCTTGTATACAATCCCGCAGACTGAATCTGCTTAAGCTGATTATTACGTTATTTCAATCTGATAGGATCGATGCCAACAATCGATCTATGATGTCCCCAACCGAGCATAGTGATTGGTGGTTTCTTGCATATCTTCGAGGTTTGTAAACCTATGACGGTTTAAAATTGATTCTTGCTTTTTTTGTTGTTGTTGTTTGATTTGCCACAATCAATAAAAGAATGTTAGCACAAATTCAAATTCTCAATTCAAATTTCTCAAACAGGGCGAGATGGTCGAGATGGCAGGGAAGGCCTCATGGGTCCTCCTGGACCGCCTGGAAAGCCGGGTACCCCAGGGATGGCGGGAAAACCGGGTGCACCAGGGCCAAAGGGTAAGAATTTAACAACAACAATTGCCACTAAGTACAGGAACATCATAAGCTGCACAAACAGAGGTATCTTAAACAGCTGAAACAAAAGAGGTCAGAGTTACAAGTTAGATGTGTCTCAAATTAGACAAAATACAGAGATATCCAAATCTGAACAAACAACGCAGTAGCCACAAACTGGACAAACAACTAAGATGTTACAAAATGGACACCCAAAAGAGTGTCACAAACCACAAATAAAGAGATCTCACAATTTGAACAAAAAAACAAACGTGTCACAAACTGGACAAAAATTAGAGATGACAGAAACTGAACAAAAATCAGGTGTCACAAATTGAACAAACAGCAAATGTCTTAAAAACTGTACAAACAAAAGAAATGTCGTTAGCTAGACAAACAACGGAAATGTCATTAACGAGAAAAATGACAGAGGTGACAAACTAAACGAACAACAAAGGTGACTCAAACTGAACAAACAACAATGGCGTCACTAAATTGACAAGCTAGAGAGGTGTCACAAAATGAACAAATAAAAGAAAGGTCACAAACTGGACGAACAGAGGCATCATAGACTGCTTAAGGAAAAGATACATTGCAGACCTGAAGCAACAGAAGGCAATTTATTTCTTTTCTTTTGTCGCTACGATGTTGGTCAAACAGGACAGTCTGGACATGGTACTAACAAGCCGGTTCCAGGTCCCCCAGGTCCTAGGGGACAGCAAGGCCCTAGTGGGAGCCCTGGGCGCCAGGGGCCCCAAGGGCCCAAAGGTAATAAAGGGCAGGATGGGGCCGGTATTACTGGAGTGAAATATGTCCGCTGGGGAAAGACCAAGTGTCCTAGCGGTGCTCAATTGGTTTATGAAGGTGAGAATTGCTTACTATGTTTCAGAATACTACTATATTGTTAACCCCTCGAAATGTTAACTGCGTGTAGAGAGTGGTGGTGAAAAAGTTACTAAAAGAGGACTTGAACGTTTGTAAGGCTACTGAAAAATTTCTTTTTAATTTTCAATCAAATATACACAGGGTTGAATTGAATAGATGAGTGATCTTAAATTTTTTCTTAGGTATAATTGGGAGTAGCCATTACCATCATCTTGGTGGAGGAGGAGAATACATTTGTCTGCCAAAGGTCCCGAAGTACGACAAATACAAGGGCGGATATCAATCGCACTCATACATTTATGGCACTGAATATGAAGTCAGTGGGTTCAATCCATTTAAAAACAGCCTACATGATCACGACGCCCCATGTGCAGTATGTTACGTCAGCTCACGTGCAACCCAGCTGATGATACCCGCTAGGAATGATTGCCCCTCCGCTTGGACCGAAGAGTACCATGGGTACCTGATGTCGGAGCGCCACAACCACAAACAGTCACGCAACTTCATTTGCGTTGACCGAGACGCGGAGTTTGTTCACGGCAGCCGTGCAAACGTCGATGGTGCCCTTCTGTACCTTGTGGAAGGTCAGTGTGGCTCGTTGCCATGCCTACCTTATGTTGGTGGTAGGGAATTGACTTGTGCTGTATGCACCAAGTGATGAGTCAACCGTGGAAAAGCTCTTCAGACACTAGTGGCTTTAGATTTTCGAGAAAGCTTTTAATATTCGAGATTTTGTATGGGCTGAGGCTAAAAGAAAAGGGAAAAGTTTTATTTTATTAATGAATAAACAACTTAAAACGTTTACCCAAGAATAGGGTTTTTGTATTGTTGTTTTTATTTTGCTTAACTTTGTTTTGTTTTTGTTTTTGTTTTTAATTTTGTTTTTGTGTCTGTTTCTGTCTCTATTTTTTCTTTCATCGAGTAAACTGTTCCACGGCAACCATGAATGCCATATTCGTTGGAAAAGTGGAAAACGTCTTTCGCCATCTTCCCTTTATAAAATTTATATGAACAGAAATTTTGTATTTCTGAAATTGCCTTTCTTTCCATATCGCCAGAAACAAGGTTCGATTAAAGGAATTTTCGACAGAATTTTTTTGGTCATTCAACCTGTTTTGGGATCAAAACAACCAAGATACCACACTAAGAAACTGCTGACTCAGCTCTTGAGACATGAATGTCGACCGAATCTCCACAGAAAAGTTCATGCAAACCTAATTTTAATTTGTTTTTCGAAAAATGCCAAATTTCTACGTAAAACCTTGATAAATGAGGTTTATAGAGAAACGGGAACAAACAAACGGTCCCGGTTATACTTGTTGTAATTAGGATTAAGTTTACTGACTTATGTTCACTTTTGATCAAAATAAATATTAGTGGAAAACAATTTGTCATAATTGGAGCTTTAACCAAAACCTTTTCTCCCCAAAGAAATGACCAGGCTCAGGGATCGCCAGAAAGGCAAAAAGGAGGAAAAGTAACGCAAATTATTTTGCTATGAGAGGAAGGATGAGGCTTTCTTATGATTTAAACACATAACTTAAATTTTTGTCTTAAATATATCTAACGAAATATCTGACTCAGCGCCAATTGCACGACAAATCACACGAATGTTAATGCAAATACTTTCATCCTTATTCATCCTTACGATTGATTGCACGAAAAGTATGAAAGGAAGATATGAAAGTCCACACGGCGACCAGGTAGACAATCAGACATGGTTTGATGCTACTCTGGTTTAAAGATTTAAAAGTAACTGAGAAGTTACAATTCATAGACCCAACGTTTCGACACTCCTGTCTAGTGCCCTCATGAGGGGTGATCTAAACGCTGCAACACGAAATCTTTTTATACGCTCACTAATTAGCTGCCCTTTTTTCTGACGAGGTGTAAACAGGCATCAGAAGTAAGGCGCCATCATCACGATTTAAAGGAGTGTGGGCGGAGTTGATATGCTAAGCTTCCAAATAAAGGCGCTGGTGGTAACGCCGATTAGATTTTAGACTTATCCCACTCTGTGTGCTCCGATAAAGCTGAATTTTCTTTTTCGCGAAAGAAGACCGCTTTTTGATGCTCTTTCAAACGTGTACCAAACTGACGTTTGGTCTCTCTGATATACTCGTTATCACAGTCATTGCACGGGATAGAATAAATAGCGTCGGTTCGTTGTTCTTTCGTGACAGGATCTTTATGTTTGGCAAAAATATGCCCTAAAGTCTGAAAAGGTTTCTGAGCAACTTTTACGATGGGTTCCGACAATTGTCTCTAAATTCCCCTGTTCCCCTCTGTACACATTTAAATCAAGAAAGGGCAAACGTCTATCCTTTTTACGCTCAAGGGTAAATTGCAGAGACGGCTCTATTGAACTCAAGTGCGATAGTAGGCGTTCCGCTTCATTTCCGGATACCGCAGAAATCACATCATCGATATATCGTTTCCCGAAAAAGGGTTTAACAGGTGAAGTGGCAAAGGCCCTTTGTTCCACGTCTTTCATTACCAACTATCATGAACCGTTTGAACGCAAATATGATAGTCAATAATAGTGAACGAAAGTTTAAGCTATCATCAATTATCATAACCGTTTTAACGGGACCTTCGTACTTGCCAAAACAGAGTAAAATAATAAACGGGGCGATATTCGAGGTAACCCGACCCAGACCTCCCTCGATTTTTCACTCCTCTGCTCCTATCGCACCCCGTTCACTTTTGTGCTTCGTTTCTCTAACAGAACACCTGGAACGGACTGGTTCTTCTCACGTAACAAGGATCCAGTTTATACTCCTCTGTAAAGAAAGGTATTGTTATTTGTCCATGAGTACGCAACACCGTTGTTCGGCTCTAAACCATTAAATCGCGTTATTCGTGCTTTACCGAAAATAGCGTTCCAGGACTCCAATTTCTAGAGAAACACAGAATGAACTCTGTTCATTAAGACTGGCTTGATCAGCTTTTGCAAAACTTGTATTTGAATGCACGCTCCACGTGGTTATTTCTTGGTGTGATTATGACGATACAATCAGACTTTTGTGGCAATAATTCACTATCCTCACTCATTTTCTTTTTCTTTTCATTCAGCCCCTAATTAAGATAATAAAGAAAAAAATTAATTGTCTACAGATTTTATTGTTAAGGAGCAAGGCGGCAACGTCTTCTAAACTATGAATTCGAAATGATTGAGAACAATTGCAGAAGCTGTATCTTTCCGAGAAAACAATATATTTTGTCAAGAGATTATAATTCCTTGATTTTGTAAAACTGGAAAATTCGAGCACTCGACTTTGATCACGATTCATGCTCATGAATCTTTCTCAATGATTTAGATTAGCAGTATATAAGTGCAGCGCTCTGGCAGCTGTATATGCTGTAAAAAAAATGATAATCTCTCAGAGAAACGAATGGAGTAGAGTTATATTATGGCTTGTTTCTGTAGGATCCAAACACTTTACACGTGTTGTGGTCCTTCTCTTCCGTACACGCAATTTCTTCTTTTTTCCTTCTTTATCCATTCATTGACGAAACAAGTACTTGCAATATTGAAGAAATACAGTACACTACTAAGAAGGAAGCTTATACACGAAAGTAAGAGGCGCGGAGCCCAGAACTGGTTGAATATCATAAAAGGAAAGATAGTTTGGCTCGCCACATCGTGCAATCACTGCGTAACTTGGCGCACCTAACAACGTCTGCGCAACAGGCAAGTCACTCACAAAACAGACTGCTCAGGGCGTTTGTTTTCTGAATGAGCGACAGGCTGCATTGTACTGCAAGGGCCTTTTTCCCACCTTTACAAAAGAAAACTCTTGCAGTTTGGAAACAAAAGAATAGACCTACAGTAGGGACAAACAACACTAATTGCAAATTACATGGGCTTGGTTGAACGTTAACATAAGGGGCTAAACATCAGCTTAGGGCCATTCTGCACCAGCGACAAAATTGTTTATTTACACAAATTTTCTGTCATCACCAACATTTTAAAGTGCAAATGGTTTGTAATAAATTTTGGTCGAAGTGGACAAATCTTTTAACCCACCGCCGACAAAATTTGCCCGGGGTAAAAATTTGGCAAAGTCGGCTAAATAAACAAAACCGTGGTACACTTGTCAATCATTTTTCGTATAGGATACGACAAGCGTGTAATTGAACTGAAGTCAGTTTACTAGAAAGGCAAAAATTGTCTTTTGCTGCAAAACTCAGGGATTCTAAAGTTTTAAAACGACTTAGAATAAATCCTGGAAATTGGAGGTGGAATCCTTTGGCAACTAGTTGGTCTTATTAACAGATCAGGCGCTGACGGAATTTGACGGCTTTGAAATTTTAATACGATGCAATAGACGAAACAAAAATTTGTCCATCGATTTTGTTAGGACAATTCTAGCTTTGTCCGCTAGTGCGGAGAGGCGCTTATTGGAGCTTAGCAATGACTTACCCCGCCCGCTCTGGTAGAGTTTCAAGGTATGTAAGCGCTTTTTTAATTTATCAGTATCATTTACTCTTCTGTCTTGTATTACGCCATTCCTCATTCCTATTCAATTCTTTTGTGGCATTTTGACGAAAATTTATATGCATAAAGTGCTCCTTTTCCCGCCTAAGTCAGCCTCTTTTGCAGGGCGACAGCTGATTGGCTTATAGTTCTAATTAGAGTTCATATTTCAAATTCATAATTAGTGGAGTCTCTGCCGCATCTAAGGTAAGATCTTGTGCCAAGGTTGTACTTTTGAACACATTTCTGTAATTTTAAAGGTCGCAGCTCCAAAAAGCCTATTTGCCTATTCTAGGTCTGACCAGAATGCGAGAGATACTACATGACCATTCATTGCGAGAGCAAATTTGAACAAAGTGTTGGTATGGTACGGATTCAACAGCCTTCGCTACCTGTGAACCCAAGCGCAAAAGCGGGATAACCACTCGGTGAGTCTTTCGCTAATACATGTCGGGGGCTCGTATTTTCAGCCGAAACTACTTGATGTTGTCTCTAGAGTGATGGTTCCTTGAGTTCAAGGTGAAATATTATGTGCGTTCGATTTATTGTGATTTTCACCGATTCGTAGGTTCCCACATTAATTATGATATTTCGATTCCCATGTCATCTTTTTTCTTTGATGGTTTTTAACAATCAAGAGTTATTATCAATTTGCAACAAAGGGTTGAATTAATAAGGTTATATAAAAGGGCTGTTCAGGGCGTGAAATTAATTTTTTTTCTGACAGCCACTTGGCTCCTAAATTCTTCAAAGCGGTAGCCAATTCAAAAAAAGTTGGTCGCCATTTTCAAAGACAAACAAAACCTTTTTTTACGCTGTCAGCGTCCAAGATAGACCCTCCAAAATTATCTTGAACGTGCTACAAAGTGGACTCTAGGATGGATGATATACAACGTTTAAGCTCACCTAAATCCATGATGGCGTCTAGTTATCGATCGAGATACATCTGCTGCGGTTTGGAAACAAACATAACAAGGTAGCTTGCCGCGGATTTGTCTTTGCAAACAATTTTAATTCGCTATATCTCTTGGTAAGGTTATGATGAAACATTCCAGTCGCCAATTTGGCGACTAATTTTCAGAATTTGGTCGCCAAAGTGAAAAATGTAGTTGCATTGGCGCCTGTATTAAGCGCAATTTCACGCCTTGACTGTTTACTTCTCTGGTCGCAGGAATATTGCACAGTTTCTGATGAAACGGGCGCGTGAACAACTTCCTTATTGTTCGAATCAAAGACGCGTAAATGGAATCCTTACCGTACTCAAAGGATACTTTTTTTTTACTCTTTTCTTTTCTTACAATAGTTAAGGCACTTGTCTCCTCTGTCTTGCTTCGAAATTCCTGCCTGTCTGTAGCGGATTTGTGGTGCGATTTCGTGTCTTGGAAATCACTAATTAACTATGTTTGCATGTTTTGCAACACATAATCGGACTTTCTAAACCTTGGGCCAAATTTGACTAATGTAATAACTTAAGCATGAAAACAAAGCAAGTAAAGCTTCATTCAACAAAAAGGGGTAGCTTCTTTTATTAGTAAATAAAAGAAATCGGACAGGATCTAGCAGTATAACATGACAAAAACAGTAAACATTGATATGAAATAATAAACAGTGGCCTTGGCCATGTCCGTCAAGAGTAATCCCTCAGTTTCTGCAATTTTTTGGCAACTTGAATGAGTTAAGAAACATTGATATGAAGTAAAAAAAACAATGTCCTTAGCCATGTCTTTCAAGAGCAATCTCCCAGTTCCTACATTTTCTTGACAACTTGAACAAAAACAGTAAACACTGATATGAGATAATAAACAGTGGCCTTGGCAATGTCCTTCAAGAGTAATCTTTCAGTTTCTGCAATTTTTTGGCAACATGAATGAGTTAACATTGATTTGAAGTAAAAAAAAGCAATGTCCTTAGCCATGTCTTTCAAGATCTATGTTCTAGTTCCTACAATTTTTTGACAACTTAGATGAGTTAACATTGATATGGAGCAAAACACAATGTCTGTAGCCATGTCTTTTAAGACTAATCTCCCATTTCATGCCATTTCTTGACAACTGGAATGAGGTAACATTGTAACAAACAAACAATGTCATTGGCTGCTATGTTTTTCAAGATCAATCTTACAGTTCATGTAATTTCTTGACAATTTGAATGGGTTAACCCTTTAACTCCCATAAGTGACCAAGAGTGTATTTTTCCTTACAATATCAATTTGGG